CCCCCCCCCCCCCCCACACGCCAAGTACACGCGGGTCTTTGCAACCCCTCCCCTTTGGCACCAACATCCGTGTTCGTAAGGCTATGTTTCCTGCAACATCCGAAAGATGAACCGTGTCACAGCCGAAGTACGGTTATGAAGGTCAGAGGTGGCGAAGGGGACGGCGGAACTTGACAGCGGTACAAAAAGGGCCGGCGGGTCGGCTCTTTTTCTTTTTTTTTGGGAAACTCAAATGCCGCGGCAGCCAACGTGACCCCGCTATGATGCCGCCGCCACACGTGCCCGTCAACGCACCAACCGAACTTGAGCTGTCGTCCAACCATATCAGCGCCCACTTCACGTGTGTACCACCAATCATGCGTCGAATCGATACTGGCTCCAGCAGAGCTTCAGATCGATACGATTGCTCGGCCGCCCGCCCAAGGCAGGGCAGAGACGAGTGGCGGTTCTGGCTCTGTCCAGGTCAGCGGCGACGTGCGCGCTCCAAGTGGCATTGCTCGACCCGAGCCATGCCATGTGGTGGAGAAGCTGTCTGCGCTGTCAGGTTCCAAATTGAGCCGTCTTCCCGCTGGCAGGGATCAGGGTGGTGACGCTTTGTTCGATTCTAGCCCTTCATCCCCCTAGGATACTGTGTCGCAGCGCCAAATGGCTACCACGAGAGAATGGATCGCTGGATTCTGTGACCGGATGACCGTGTGTGCAGCGACGTATGACCGATGTGTGACACTCTACAGCACACGGTCAAGAGAAAAAGCCGTGGTCCAGAATTCTCGCAGCCACACCTTCAATGGCAGTGCTGATGGTGCCCTCTAGAGGTACGGTCAAGCGAAGTGCGCATTGTAGTTCCGTCGATGCTGGCGTTTCGAAGGTGGCGACTGCATAGTCCACACATTGTTGAGTCGGCAGCGACCAAGTTTGGCGGATTCGAGGTTGCACTGCTTTGTGAGAGGCTGGATGTGGATGCGAGTGCGGTGGATGGTGCAGCTGGTCTGCATCGTCGTCGTCATCGTACTCAGCGCAGTTTCGGTTCGGACGGGAGCGCAGAGTCGGGTCGTAGATCATGGGCGAATGCTGGCAAATCCGTGCTGCAAAATGCAACCTTGACTTTACACAAACCATCTTCACGCTTGCGGGTTCGTGGCTGAGGTATCGTGCAGTGTTCGACACGAGGTCAGCATCAAAGCCACAGCTTGCGGGCTGTACCGCAAGACTGCGCTTCGATACGGATCGACTACTTGAGCGGAATTTCGACACCACAGAAGAATGCATCTTTGGATACGAGACCTTGGTTGCCTGTCACGACTTGCCGATGTATGTGAGGCATTGTTCGGTTACTAAAGCGGAACCCACAGCGAATGATTTGACTTGGTCCAGACCGTCAACGGCAAACCGAGCTCACCAAGGGTATGACATGCGTGATTCGATCAGCGCTGGCAGTTGGGTGTCACTACGAAGCGGTACCGCCAAAGGCATGCGCTCGGAATCGATGGCAAAACTGTATCGCATGACGACGTTCGGCTCGATACAATATGTACGCACTTGGTGGGCAAGCCTACAAACCGGTGCCTCAACAAGGATGATCGTTCGAGTTGTCAGACCGTGGCAGTTTGGACGTCACTGCCAACCCGACCGAAACGCAGAAGTACTGGCGCTTGCCGGGCGTGACAAGTACGATTTGGTTCCGCAAAAGAATAGACTGCGGGACCTGTCTAGACATGGCGGGCAGTTTCAAGTGACAAGCGCAATTGCAGCATGATTGGGTGCTGGGATGACCGTTGCAGCTGACATGCGTGTCTCGACTCTGTCAAGACCATCAATGTGGCGAGGTCACGATTGCAACATGCATTCGACTCTTTAGACCCATGCGACCATCTGCACGTCACCATGCTGGCGTTTGCAAGTCGGTATACCGGCGCTTCCAAGTCTCCACCAAGCACATGGGTACCACAGCATACATTGTTGGATGCCACATCCTCTATCCCCGCGGGCAACTCGCAGGTGCAAAGGTGGAATTACCGACCTAAAGCGTACCACAAAGGTTCCGACTCGATAGCATCCATCCTGGCACTTTTGAGCATACAGCTACGGACGCAAACCAAATGCATCGTTCACCGCCATATGCTGACGAGGTGGCGATGCTGCAAACAGCAGTACCAGGCGCATCCAAGACGCCCCCCAAGCCGACTCCCCACCTCGAAGAACAAGTACGCCTGCAACCCTCGTTTCCGAAACATGATCAATGCGCCCAACCGCCAAAAACGTTCCCCCGCACCCATCTTCTCCACTGCCCTTACCCATTCTGGCTTCGTTCGACTATGAGGCATACTGCTGCCACTTTGACCTCACATCAACAAAGGTCGATACTACCAAAGAACATTACGATTCGACTCACATCGACCCTGAACACTGGCGCACTGTCCACATCGACCCGGGACTGCCACCTTGTACTGCGAATGTATACGCATTGTTCCTATCTCTACAAATACAACCCATCCCAGGTGGTGCGCTACTTGGTCGCGGCAATCCTGGCGCGCAACCTCGCCTCGAGCTTCTCCATCATCTGAGGCAGACCCTCCTCCTCGCCGGCCACGCCGCCACCTACACCCCCCGACGCAGTCATGGGTTTGCGTTCGGGCAGATGCAGATCCTCGTAATACACCGCCTTGCGCGTATGACCCATGCGCCACAGCTTGAACGTCTTGAGCATCTCGCCCAACTCGCGCGCCACGGCCGAGTCGCCGTTGGCCGAAGCCAGTGCTCGCAGTCGCGCGCTGCGCACCGCTTGGATCCACTCGACCTGTCCACGCGGCAGATACTCGTTCGAATACGGCACCTCGCTAAACTCGATCTGCTTCATCGCCTTCGCCCCCACGCACGGCACCGTCGCCAACTTGGTTGGTGTCGAGCTGGAAGGCCACATCCAGTTGTACAGCCGACCCAGCAGTCCTGGAGCCCGCACATCCGCATCCACATCTGCCCCCGCCTTGGCGCCGCTCACGGGGCACACGGCATCCCACGGCTTGACGGGCACCTGTGCGGTGGCAAAGGGGCAGCCGGGGCTGGTGCGCAGCGGAATGTCGAGCAGCGCATCGAGCGTGCGGATGAGCAGCGAGTGGTCGCCCGAGACGCCGTCAAAGTCGTCGACCCCCCAGCCGTGGAAGCCCTGAGCGTGCGACATCCAGACGTCCTTCTGGATCTTTTCCTCCTTGAGCGTGTCGAAAAAGTGGCGGAAGGCGGCCTTGAGCGCGACGTGGCCTCGTTGCAGCGCCTCGGCGGCCTCGTCATCGCGACCGTGCGCCATGAGCGTCTGGCACTGCGCGATGGAGCGGTAGAGCTCGAGTGCGAGCGTCTCCATCTCGTAGAATACAAAGGCGTTGTACCTCTCTGCATCGACGACCGACTTTTGCGCCATGTGTCGCATGTTGGAGTAGGCCATTTCGAGCTGGCCGTCGTGCTGGCGGATGACGTTGACGAGCGTCATCGAGTAGAGGCAGCCGCCGCTGGACTCGATGCCAAAGTAGGCGTTGAGCCAGTGGAAGGGCTTGGCGATGGATTCGGGCAAGCGCAGCGACTTTTCGTCTTGGGCCATGGCGACGACGGGGAGCGTGCCCCAACGATAGAGGTGGATCAGATACGCCATGCACGCCAGGAAGCCGAGGCGGGCGTTTGCGTCGAGCGTGGGCAGCGTCGCCATGACTTGGGCGACGTCGATGCTGGCCAACGACTGCTGGAGCCAGAGGCGGTTGTCGTCGATGCGTCGCCTCAGCTGGGCATCGGTGTAGTTGGGGCGCAGTTCTGGCGTGACGAATCGGGGCGGTGCCTGCATTGCCACCGAATCGTAGATGTGAAGGCACCTGGGCCACGAGGCGCGATAGGTCGGGTTGGGTGGCCAGCTGCCTGCGCCCTCGATGCGGATCATGCGCTCGAGCGCTTCGGAGACGCTGGTGGAGAGTGCCGACTCGAGCTTGGGAGCGAGGTCGGCGGCATGGCCGATGGGTTCGTCGAGCACCGACGTGGCCGACGACGAGAGGTGCGAGCCGTTGCGGCCGAAGTCGGGCGTGCGAAGTGCGTCCAAGGACGACGACGACGAGCTGCGGCTGCTCGTTTGCAGCGGACGCGACATTGTTGGGAAATGCTATGCAGAGGTGATGTTGGGGGTGTGACTGAGGCGGATGCAAGTGTGACGACGATGCGCGAGCGATGGAGAAATGCAATGCGATGGGATCCCAGTGACTGATGATGGTCGGAAGTGATCCGATGGATATAGGACGGAGGAGGCGAGGATGGGGAGGCAAGGCAAGGCAAACGAGGCGGGCTGATAAGTGCCAGTAACCGCGGCGATACGGTTTGGCTTTGGTCTCTCGCGCTGAGCAGAGTGCAACGTCGGTGTTGCCGCCGAAACGAGTGAGCAGCAGCAGCAGCAGCAGGACGGGGTAGCCGACAGGGCACAACCGCCGTTTCGTGTGCGGAATGTGCTCTTCCACCACCGCTCTCGAATCGGCTCGAAGCCGAAATGCGTCAGCCGCGCACCGCTCTCTCCATCTCGGTCCGCTTGCTTTCTTTCTTTCCTTCCCCACCGCACGGCACGGCACTCTCCATGGCAACCCGCCGTTGCTGCGGAATAGAGTATCCGCCGTCGTATTCGAGTGCAGCAGCTGTTGAGTTTGGAGGGGGCACGCACCGTCATATGCATGCTCGCTTGGATGCCTCGATGCCAAATGCGCCCAAGCCGTGGATCCAAGGCATCCGTTCGTCCCTGCATCGGCGCGTCCACGCGGCACCGTCAAATCCGAGCTTTGCGAGTTGGACCCCTGTTTTTTACCGAAAAAAAAAGACTGGAGCTGGGACTTCCGATGCAGGTCGTGTGCTGCAAAAGAATTGCTCGCCGGCTGGCTGCCTAGGCGAAACAATGCCAAAAAAAAAAAAAAAAATCTCTCCGAAACATCGCACTCGGCAGTGTCGTCACGAGGCTCCTCCGGCTATTGACGCTCCACTTTTGGCTTCTTTTCTGTTCTAGTTGCCTTTTGCTTTTTACCGACGAATCTCACATCGACGGCTACTTGCACATCCGCTGCCAATAGCCGGGATGCAGTCCGATAGATGAAGTGAAGTTGCGGATCGGAAGATCGGGCCGTAATAGCATCCGCTGTGGGCGATCCGAACGGTGAACGGAATTGAAGTGCAGAAACCACATGCACAAGGCGTGAGATGTTCCTAGCCCATTGCATACCGTGGTTGCAAAGCGCCTCTTCCTCTAGCCGCGGCCATCTTGGCTGGCTTATCGAGACTTGATCTCTGCATTGTTTTTGTTGATTTTCAATTCGACTCTCGCCTGGCACCTCTACCCTCGCCTACGTTCGCTTGGCCAGGCTTGTAAGGCGGCCCAGCCCACACGGCGGATAAGAGGTTGGATGGGTTGGGTTGCGGTGGAATTCCGATGTCGATCCCGTTTCACGCGATGCTGGTGTCCTAAGCTATCGACGGTCCATCGTGCAGTGCCGATCTGTTTGGCCCCCTCGCCAGTTTTTCCCTTCGGAGTTGGAAACCAAAAGGGAAATGTCCCAATGGAAAGCGCATCTCCCGCACGGTTGAAGACTCGAGCTTCTTTTTCGAGTGTAAGGTCGCAGCAGCTCGGCAAAATGCAGTTGACGCAGCTGAGGACACCCCACCGAGAGTAGCCGAGGGCCATCAATCTGTGAATGTCGTCACGCCCCGTCGTGTGGTCTTGCCGTCGTATAGAATGGCACACCGTTATCCGCACGACCGTCTGCAAGCGCAGCCAACGTTCTTGCTCGGTAGTCGCGGGGAGTAGATGCAGGGTCCCGCTTTCTCCTTCCAGAAGGGAAGGTGTTGTGCTGCAAGAGATGACGAGAAGTTTTTTCGAGCTTGAATTGTTAGACCTCACCTTTCAGCAGATTTGAGGATTTGTCAGGCTGAGGTGGCGTCGCGTCAAGGCATGTGGAGTTGGACGCGTAAATTGCGACAAAGTGCGGCGCGTTCGACTTGGCCAAAGCTTTCGAGAAAAAAGAGCAACTGCGGAGCGGCAGTTTTTTTTTTCTTTCTGGACAGTCACGAGCCGCCGCCATCTCGAAAGTGTCACACACTCGTCAGCGGCACAAAAAGCCCACATCACATCCCCAACTCCGAGTTCCGACCGACTGCGGCGAGGAGGAGGAGGAGCGGAAAGATTAGACTGGCTACCACCAACTACACCCTCGACTCAGCCCAACCTTGTTTGGCACAGCAGCAACCGCTGTTTCTTCCGCTTCCGCACCTCCGATCCCGCACGGCCATTCCCGCAGAGCTTTCGCAAACGGCGCTCTCTCGAACAAAGCTCGCGAGCCTTTGTACGACCTCACCAGCACGTATATCACCGTCTCCACCTCCGCTGCTCAGCCATCCCACCACCACCATCATGTCTTGTATCGCCTTGCGATGAGCTCCACAACCACGCGTACCAGCGCAGTCGTCGACGGCAGCGCTGTCGGCGGCGGCGGCATCGGCGCGCAGGCTGCTCGCCCCGAGCCTCCACCGCTGCCCGAAAAGCTCCAGGGCCTCCTCGACCGCGTGCGTGCGAATCAGTCCGACGTCAACCTCTTCTCCGACCTCCTCCATGCCGCATGCGAATACCTCGACTCGGGCAAGGCAAAGCAGTCCCACATCTACTGCTCGCAAGCAAGGCCATGCGACTTTGAACTCGAATCATGCATGCTCCGCATCTTTAGCTTCCGCGCCAAGGATCAGATTGACAGGTGGCGCACTCGCATCACCTCCGCCATCTACTCCAACTGCCTCGACTGCTACAAGGGCTTCCTCAGCGCAAAGCATCGCCTCCGCACCGTCTACCTCTCCACCTTTCCCCCCGACAAGCTCGACGCCTTTTTCGCCTACATCGACGTCGTCGAGGAGGAACTCGCTCTCGCCGCACTCGAAAAGGCCGGCCAATCCCCCGGCGACGTCCTCCGCAAGCTCTCTCGCGCCGAGATCTACGCCGTCCTCACCTTGGTCGCTTCGCCCACCGCACACAAGCTCCACGCCGCTTTCAAGCAGCTCATCAAGCTAGACCAGCTCCCCAACATCCAAGAGATCCCAGCAGGCCTCTTCACCCTCGGCATCGACGATGATCCAACCGTACGCGCCTTTGCCGCGCGCCAGCTTCTCCTCCTCAAACCCCTCCCACACGACATGGCCATCCTCTCCGCCTTCCAGAGCGCATTCGATCGTGTCCGCAAACGCTACGCAGACGAAGCTACCGTCGCAGACTGGTCCCTCCTCTCCGTCCTCATCAACAACTCCGTCAACCTCGCCGTTCTACTCACCCCGACCATCCTCAGCCATGTACACGACCGTCACGACCGCTTCACCGACGTCCTCAAGGCCTACTCGGTCCTCCTCAAGCTGCGCGGTCCCGCAGTCTGGTTCAACATGATGGCAGATGCGGCTGCCCAGGGCAGACCCGACGACGAGTATCCCACCGTCATCCTCTCCGGCATCCTCGACAACCCTCACTTCACCAAATCGCTTTTTGACTCGTCGCGCTCCGTCAACAACCCGCGCGAAAAGGCGCTCTTCTTCGGCTGGATGCGCAGCCACCTCGACAGCCTCCGCTTGGTCGGCGGTCAACTGTCCAGCGAAGCCATCAAGCGCATCGCCAACTTCCTCTTTGAGCGCATGCAGCAGGGTCACGTCCCCACCGACAGCCGCGCCGTCGCCTTCACAGAAGCCATCGACCTCGTCCTCCACCACGCAGACCAGCACAACAGCAGGCAAGTCGTCGACCTCTACGCCGCCCCCATCACACAGATCGCACTCGCCAAGGACAGCAAGGCAGACGACGCAACCCGACGCGCCGCGCGTGATCTAATCGCACAGGCCTTCGAGCGCGATGCCGCCAACCTCGTCTCGGCCTTGGAGAAGCTCTCGGCGCTTTCGGCGCGTAACAACAGCTTAAGAAGGGAAAAGTTCAGGGGACTGCAAAACGCAAAGAGCTCGTCAGAACTGGCCAAGTTGAAGGCGGCCTCCACAGCCTTCTACGACGACCTAGCAAAGCTTCAGTACCCGGCCCTCGAAGTCTGCAGCGTCTTGTGGAGGGAGGTCTACAATGTCACCGGCGCCGGATCGTCCGAGGAAGGCGCCAGCATCCTCCTCGCCGCCTTGGCTCGCATCGCGATCTGCACGCCACCCACCTTGCAGACGCACATCTTCAAGCCAGTCGCTACCGATATCCCGCCAGCACACTATGCCCACGAGTCTCGCGTGCGGCAATCCATCGCCAGCATCCTCAGCGCCTTTCGATCCATGCGTCGCACCGACTTTGCCGCGCTGCTCGCCGACTTTGGAGAGTTTGTCCGCGAGGACGAATTGCAGCAGCTCTGCACCTCGGACGCCTACAGCCTGCTTCTGCTCAATCTCTGCCCGGATCCGGACGTGTACAAGCCCGCGCAGAACCTCCTCCGACAGGCGTTCAGCTCCGTCGAGAGTCGTGCCGACTGCTTCCGCATCCTCTTTCAGATCAACCATACCGCCTCGCTGCGGGCCTGCGCCGACTACCTCCCGCTCTTCATCAACGCCACCGTCAAGATGGTCGAGGCCAACGACCTGGCCAAGTGGATGGTGCGCAGCTTTGCCGACATCGTCGAGGTGCTCGCCGGCAGCACAGACGGCCTCCTCCGCCCAGGCACTTCCTGGACGCTCGTCGAGGATCGCTCCACGCTACAGGCCGTCGCGCTCAAGGCGCCCACCATCTGGCGTCTGATGTGCGAGAGTGTCGCCTCCATCTTCAAGCGCACGCCCGCATGGTCCAACCTCCTCCCGCGCGAGGAGATGGTCGCATGGTTCCGTGACGTCACCATCTTTGCCTCGGAGATGGTCGAGGCCTTGGCCGTCTTTCGCAACGTCGTCCGTCGCGCTGCCGAAGCGCCAGGGCGATGGACGGGCAAGTCGGGTGCCGACGATGGCGACGAGATCGACCTCGCCGAAGACGAGATGATGGTCCGCGCGCTCGCCCTGCCCCTCGAGTCGGCCACGAGCTGGCTGCGCATGAACGACGAAGACATCCTGCGCGAGACGCACTCGTTCATCCTCAAGGCGCTCGACCAGTTCGGAGGCGAGTACGACCTGCCCACCAAGTCCAAGACAAAGATGCTCGGCTTCATCAACGAGCAGATGGCCATCAAGGACGCCTCGGCAAGACACACGCTGCTCTCCCTCGACGAGCTCGCTGACCTCAAAGTGCGTCTCGATCCGGACACGGGCGTCATCGAAATCAGCGACGAAGACGAGGACACCAAGACGACGCAGTCGACCGCCGGCGCCTCGAGCTCCGCCCCCCAAGCGTCGGGGTCCTCGTCGGCCTCCAAAGATGCCTCCCGATCATCCACCTCCTCCGCGTCCGGACGCACAAAGACGGAAGCCGATAACTCTCACTGGTGGGCTGGCGTCGGCAATTTTGGGCTCAATACAAAGAGTCAAGAGCGACGCAAGAACAGACTCAAGCAGTCCAAGCTCAGCTTTGCCAAGGTCGACCCGAAAGATGTCATCGACATCGACAGCGACGAGCGCTCCACCCCCGCATCGGCCAAGAAGCCAATCACACTCGACTTTACCCGCCCCAAAACTGCGCCCGCGCCCGCACCCTCCGCTCCCATCAATGCGTATCGCGGAGCGGCTGCGCGCGGTGTGGGCCCGTCGCTTGCAGGCACATCTGCGAGCTCCCGAAACAACATCCCCAAGGCGAGCACCGGCAAGATGGCACAATTACGCCAGGAGCTCGGAGGCGCGAGCCGCAACTGGAAGCCCCAGAACGTCAATGTGCGCTCGAACGACACACGCTGGGGTCGCAACCACGACGACGACGTGACGGTCAAGGCGCCCGCTGCTGTCAGCTCCGTCACCGGCGCCCTAATCAACAAGATGCCCGGACCGACCACCGATGCAGCCAGAGCGGCCGCTGCGCGCAAAAAGGCAGGCAGCACCGACAGCGATGCCACCACCTCGTCGTCGTCTTCATCCGAGTCGAGCGACGACGAGACCGAGGCCAAAGGCCTTGCGGCGTTACGCGCCAAGCCGGATCGTCCCCGAATCTCGAAACCCGCCCAACCGCAGCGGCGTCAGATGATCGTCAAGGAGGACTACCACCTCGAGCGCGCCCGACGCGAGCGCGCCGATGCCGAGCGCAAACGCATCCTGCGCAGCCCGCCCGACTATTCTGCGCTCCACAGAAGCATTCTCTCCTGGGCGTACGACCACGAAGGCGACCGTCCGCCCCAATTAGGTGGCCACGAGACCAACTACCGACGCGTCCAGGCTCAATTCTCGAACGCCGGCGACTATGGATCCGTGTTTGGTCCGCTTCTGTTGCTCGAGTGCTGGGCACAGTTTCGACAGGCCAAGGAGGAGGCCGAGGGCTCCAACGAGCCGACCGTGCCGCTCGAAGTCGCGGGTCGATCGACGGTGGACTCGTTCATCGACATCAACGTCACCATCGCTCCGGATCTGCTCCCGCCCACCGTCAACTTTAGCGACACCGAGATCGTGCGACTCAAGGAGAGGACGCCAGCGATCTCGGGCAAGCAGCCGAGGATCGTGCTGGCCAAGGTCGAGGCGTTCAAGCGCCATCCGCAGGGACACCAGTTGACGCTGCGATGCTGCCTCTCCCAGGACCGCCAGGGCGTCAGCACGGCCCTGGTGAATCGATCCAAGTGGGAGCTCAAGAAGCTCTTCTCGCTCACCACGCTGCACCGCGAGTTTGCGGCGTTGATGGCAGCGCCCTACTTTGATCTCTTCTCGGACGTCATCAAGGCGCGCGTGGCGCCCAAGCCGACGCTGTCGGGCGAAGAGGTGAGGAAGGCCATGCAAGGGTATCAGGTCAACGAACCTCAGGCAAGGGCCATCCTGGGCTCTCTCGCCACCGAAGGCTTTTCGCTCATCCAAGGACCGCCAGGTACGGGTAAGACCAAGACCATCTGTGCCTTGATCGGCGCGTTCGTTTCGAACCGCAAGGGTCCATCTACCTCGGTGCAAGCAGGTCAAGCGCAGGGCAAGGTCGGGGCGACCAAGAAGATCTTGCTGTGTGCGCCGAGTAATGCGGCCATCGACGAGGTAGCCAAGCGTGCCAGGGCGGGCATGCGGCTGGCGGACGGCAAGACCTTCCACCCCAAGGTGGTGCGTGTGGGTCGAGACGACAGCATGAACGTCAGTGTCAAGGACATTTCGCTCGACTACCTGATCGACCAGCGCTTAGAGAGCGGCGGCGCGTTCGATGCGAACCGGAACAAGGCGGGCGCGGACCCGAGCGCGCTGCACGCCGAGATCCACAGCCTCAAGATGCAGCGCGAGCAGAAGCAGGCCGAGCTGTCCGAGGCGCGTGGCAGCGGAGCGCAGACGCTCGTGACGCAGCTCGAGGCCGAGATCCGCAACCTGTCGGCCAAGCGGCTCGGCGTCATGTCGAAGCTCGACGAGGCCAAGGACAAGCAGCAGAGCGCGCATCGACAGCGCGAGGCGGACCGGCGGCGCGCGAGGATGGAGATCCTGGGCGATGCGGACGTGATCTGCACGACGCTGTCTGGCGCTGGGCACGAGATGCTGGCGGGCGTGTCGTTCGACTTTGAGACGGTGGTGATCGACGAGGCGGCGCAGGCGGTGGAGCTGAGCTCGATGATCCCGCTGCGGTACGGATGCAAGCAGTGCATCATGGTGGGAGATCCGAACCAGCTGCCGCCGACGGTGATCTCGCAGCAGGCGGAGAAGCTGGGCTACTCGCAGTCGCTGTTTGTGCGCATGTTTGAAAAGGCGCCGCAGGCGGTGCATCTGCTGAGCATCCAGTATCGAATGCATCCGGAGATCTCGGTGTTCCCGTCCAAGGCGTTTTACGATTCGAAGCTGCTGGATGGACCCGATATGGCGGAGCTGACGCGGCAGCCGTGGCACAAGTACGAGCTGACGCGGCCGTTCAAGTTTCTGTCGACCAAGGCGCCCGAGTCGCCGGGGCGATTCCATTCGATCATCAACCGCGAAGAGGCCAACGTGGCGCTGGCGCTGTACGAGCGGCTGCGCACCGACCATCCGCGCGAGAACTTTGACTACCGCATCGGCATTGTCACCATGTACAAGGCGCAGGTGTTTGAGCTGCGGCGCACCTTCCAGCAGCGATACGGCCAGGACATTGTGGAGCGCATCGACTTTAACACGGTCGACGGCTTCCAGGGACAGGAGAAGGACATTATCATCCTCAGCTGTGTGCGTTCGGCGGCGGAGCCGCGCAGCATCGGATTCCTGAGCGACCGACGACGTCTGAACGTGGCGGTGACGCGTGCCAAGAGCAACCTGTTTGTCATTGGCAATGCCGAGCATCTGCGACGCGGCGATGCGATCTGGGAAAGCCTCGTGGCGACCGCCGAGCAGCGCGGAGCCGTGCAGCCCATCACGGTGGCCATGCTGCAAAAGGGCGACCGCACCTTGGCCAAGAACGCGGGCGGTGGCGCGGAGAAGCGTACGCCGCCGAACGCCGCCACCGCCGCACCCTCGCCTGCCCGACCGCCTGCACCTCCAGCTGCGGCTAGCATCAAGAAGGAGGCCGCGCGGCCACCGGCACCGCCACCAGTGCGACCGCCCGGTATGCCGCCAGTGCGGCCGCAGTCGGGTACGCAGTACGCGCCGCCACCCGTGGCGCGGTGGGGCGCGAACGCGAACGGCACCACGCCCGGCCGGCCGGAGGAGAAGAAGCGCAAGACGATCGTCACCGATGCGAACGTTGCGCCCAAAAAGCCGCGCGTCGACAATGCCCACGCCGGTGCGGCTTCGCGGCCCCACCCAGCGCCGTCGCGACCACCACCGCGCACAGGTGCACCGGCCAACGACCTGCCTGCGGGCAAACCGCGTGTGCCCAGCGCTGCGCCCAGACCCTCGCCGACGGGTGCCAATGCGAGCGCAAACGCTCGCGGGCTCGCGGCGCTGCCCAAACGACCCGCGAGCCCGCCTAAACCGTCGAGCGCCGCACTCAACGCGCTGTTTGTCAAGAAGCGGCGCTAGCGTTATCATAGCAACCGAACTTTCTTTTTCCGAGCATCCTGTTTTGACACCCCATCATCATCATGTGTAACTGTAGCAACTCATTCCTCAATTGCATCGACATCGTTCAGAAGAAGTTGCGACCTAGGCCGACGTTGCAGATGAGCGCAGGCTGCACGACCACATTGGTGCGGTGGGGCGCCGCGTGGCTTGGAGCATCGCCGACGCCGCCGGTGGCCCAGTGGCAAACGTGCACGTATGGACTCAGTATACTGTACGCACTTTGACGTGCTGCGCGTGCGCGTGTGGCAGATCTCGCCTGAGTTTCTGTGGCACTGCTGGGCGCTGCTTGCGTTTGCGGTCGGCGCACATCCAACATGTGGACGAGCTTGGATGCGAACGGGATGGTGCCAAGTGGCAGGGACTTGCTGTGTCACATTGAGTTTGGCGCGCACATTGCGCCGAGGCGAGGGAGCCGCCAGCCGTATTGCGATGGACGCTGAGCACGAATCGTGCATGGATCTACTTGTTGGCCATCGCGCAGGCGCTCACATCGCCCGAGCGATCAAATGTCCATCGCCTTGCCGTCTCGCTCGCAAAAATCCGCCTGCTGCGCCTGCAAGCGGTACGGACGTCATTGGTCGCGAGACGATGAATGGAGGCGAGCCATATGAAAATGCCCGACGCTTGGTCGGCTTGGCAACCGCCGTGGCCGCGGTGGCCGCAGTAGCCGTGACAAGTGTGTGTCAAGCCCTGGACCATGACGCATCAGATGATTCGCTAGCAGCAGTGGTCGAAGAGGTGGTTTGGAACGTGGTGTGCCTTGGCGGCGTTCAGGAGGCAAACTGCCTTGATCTCGAAGCTGAGAATGTTGCGAGGCAGCGGACCGTCGTATCAAGAATATCAATGCGTGCGGTCGTCGGACTAGCCCTCGGTGTTGGAGTAGGCACCTACATTGCTTCGAGTCGCGCGCCATGCTGTTCAAGGCTCGTCACGCTCGCCCCTCGGCATCGGTTCTGTAACAGGCAACAGCTGGACGCGAATCAGCTCCCGATGCATCTTGCGTCTTCGCTCGCCGACGTCGGCAAGTCTTGACCATTCGGCCTGCTTGCCTCCGTCTGCCACAGAACAAAGTCCCTCACCAAAGCTGTGGCGCCGGCGCCACCAACGCCTTCAGCTTGCAACCTTGTCGCTCGCCGCCCTCACTCGGGCGCTTGCGTAGTCCCGTCCCGCGACCTCTCGCCGCCTGCCATTTGAAACGACCGCCGGAGCTACCAACGATCTTCCCAACCGCATCATGTGTATTGTGGCATCTCTTTGAATCAGTATCGTTCAGAAGAAGTGTCGACTCACTCCATCCGACGACGGCTGCCGCCGCTGCATCATACATGCCATGGCTTACACTTTGGACATTAACCCTGTCCGGCCTCCTGGCTGAACATTCATTTAGTTTTCATCAAGGGCACCGCGGCTAGCTCATCGCCCAGCTGCAACCGTAGCGACGTCGAGGGGAAGTCCTCGGTGCATCGCAATCACCCATCGAGACGCGAACCGGACCACTGTCTGCGTTCCGCATCTCGCGCAGATGCTTCGCGGTACGGATGCACACGGCTGGACAGCCAAGCGTCTATCGTTGCTGTCGATGCTTGGCATTCCTTTGGTGGTCCAGCAGCCACCGCAACGCGAGCGACAGTACAGACAGCGACAAGACGAGAGAGAGGAAGGGGGGAACTTCTGGCGCGAGGGCTTTTTAGATGTTAGATTGTTGTTGCACCGCGGAGAATGCGCGGGTGGAGGCGGAGGCGAAGATTTCACGCTGCACTCGCGGTCAACGGACGGCTGTAAGGACGACCACCATCCGTTGCTATGACGAGATGTTTGGGCCGGTGAGCATCGTCTAGCAGCCAAGCAGCGCGCAAGAACGTGCAAGCAAAGGCATAAGTACAGCCGTCGTGATTGGCAGCCACGGGCTTCACTGAGCACGACAAGGCATACATCGCAAGAGCCCCCGCCTCAACACACAGCCTCTCGACAACCAAAGCAAGGAGCCGTATACACATTGGACCGTGTGCAGTGCACCGTAGAATCGTACCGCAGCGAAGCATCAAGCTTGGGCTTCGTACGTTCCTTCAGAGAGCAAGCAACGCTGTTCGAAAGACGCGGCGTTCCAGGCTGACGACCCACCGACAACTTTGGATAGATCTGCGCCCCTGCCATGAGCGACTCGGGAAGGGAGGCCGAGTCGGCGCGCAGGCTGCAGGCGGCAGCGTATCGGTACAACTGCCAGCCGTGCAAGCAGCGCAAGACAAAGTGCGACCGCGTACGCCCGTGCGCCTCGTGCCAGCTGCGCGGCACCCAATCCGCATGCTATGCCGACGACCTCCATCCTACCTCCAACCCCACACCTGCCGCCCCGGACGAGGTGGAAGAGCGGCCACACAAGCGCACTCGTACCTCGGAGGCTGCACACGCGCCAACACCACCAACGCACCACTCGGCGTCGGCGATAAGGCAGCACATTGCGCTGCTCCGCAGCACCATCGATAGCCTAGAGGCAGAGCTGGGTGGCACATCGGAACAATCTTCGCCACAACGCCCAATCGAGCCGAGCGGTGGGCAAGAGGCGATGCTGACAAGCAGCTTGCGGCTGGTGTGGGAGGACGTGAAGCATCTCTTCCCGCCGCCGCGCGATGTGGATCGTATCCTCAACTACTTTTTGGCCGAGATGACGTACATCATGATTCCCGTGCAGGAGAAGCAGCTGTGGGCAGCGTGGCAGCGACTGCTTTCCTCGAAACGCGCCGAGTCGACATCGACTTCGGGTGTGTCGCGGTGCATGGTGGCGAGTCTGCTCGTATGTCTGGCGTCGACATCCTTCCTGATTCCCAAGGAGAGGGAGCAGCAGCTGGCGCTCTCGATCCGCACGGCCGATCGGCGGGACGGATGGATCACCTCGGCGCTGGCACTGGCGCGGTCGGGCAACATCCTCCCCTCACAGCACGGAGCGGGTGCCCAGCCGTGGCTCAACTATGTCGACGCTATCATGGACACTTCGCTGGATCGGTTTGGATTCGAAACGCTCGCACTGCGTATCTTCAATCTGCTCGGCATGAGCGAGATCGCGTACCACCTGACGGGCGAGTCGATTCGTCGGGCGCTGCGTGTGAATCTGTTTGACGAGTCGTCGTCCAAAGCGGCCGAGGCGATCACGTACGACGATGCGCTGCTCACGCCCGAGGATGCGCGGCAGATGCGAAGGCGCATCGGATCGAGCCTCATCGTCATCGAGCGGTGGTCCTCGCTCTACACCGGCCGACCGCCGATGATCGACGAAGAGGCAGAGACGCTACCGCTGCCGGACAAGGCGTATCGCTTCGAGCTCGAGGAGATCACGTATGCCATGTCGCGCTACGTGAGCAAGCTGCGCCTGCTGCCCAACCAGCTCACGGAACTAACCTCGCGCAAGGCGGGAGACTGGAGGACGCAGCGCCAACGCGATCAGGAAGCCGTAGCGCGCGTGCTCGAGCTCGACCGTGGTCTCTGCTCGCTCTACGACCCCGACGAACCGATGGCGTATTTTGGCGGGCGTTCGTGTGCGCAGATCCTGGCCGAACTGCGCCAGCTCGAGGCAGGACATCGCATGGACGATGCCGAGCTCAAGTATCGCCATCGACAGTTTGCCGAGGCGCTGGTGCTGACGAGCTCGTGGCTGTCGCTGCGCTGTTTGATGACGAGCAACCTCATGTTTCTGCCGTGGGTGGGCGATCCGGCACTGCGCTACTATGCGCTCAACCTGGCGCGCAGGCTGATCGAGCTGCTGCCGAGTATTTGGACCATGGCGAGCAGTGCCTATGTGCCCTTTAGCTCGTCCTGGATCTCACGGCATGTTTTTCTCGCATGCACCGTGCTGTCCGTGCCGATTCTGGGGCAGGCACACCCGGGCGAGGCGCTGCAAGAGACAAGGAGCGCCATCGATCCAGAGGGAAGAAGCTTGCCCGAGCTGGGTGGGGAGAAGTTGGACTTTGAGCCGTCGAGGCTGCAGCGTGCGCATGTCTTTTCCAAGCTCTCGGCGGATGCATCGCGGGTGCTCGATTCCCCACGCATCCCCGGTTCGAGCAGCGTAGACCTCGACTGGTTCAGCGGGAAACTGGTGGAGATTGCGCAGCTGTTTTCAAAGTTGGCGGAGCGCGGAGATCAGACGGCGGCGATCAACACCAAGCTCATCACGGCGCTGTTGGGGTCGCGCACGGAACTGCGCGATCGCGTGCTGCACAAGCTCGGCCAGCGTGTGCGCAGCGATGAAGCCATGCGGCCGATCGAATCGCAGCGCGACCTCACCACCTTTGTCGCAGCCCAGGCGCAGAGCGTGCCCACTCCCACAACGCCAGTACAACAGGAGCGCGCGACGAACAGCGAGGAGAGAAGCGCACTGCACGACCTGGCGAGCGTGGTAGAGACGGTCCAGGAGGGCAGCGGCTGGAACTTGCTCGACGGATTCGAACAGGCGAGCAGCAACAAGGATCACAGACTCAACAATGATGCACTCGCCACCGTGCCGTTGCTCGACACGGCCGATTGGCTCGCCATCCTGGACGGCGTCGACATTCCCATCTAGCGCGGTGGCTCATTTGGCAATGCAAGCGCACAGTCTTGCGAAAGGAGAGCAAGGATGAAGTGATTGACTGTGCGCGCGGGTCTAAAGCGGGGGGATAAAGTCGGCGATGCGATCGCGCGCATTCTGGGCGATGCACTCTGCGATCCAGGTGATGGAGCGGATCTCCTGCTCCTTGAGCTTGAGCCAGGCGTAGAAGACGCCAAACTGGAACTGGGTGATGGTCAAGATGCGGTTGAGCTGCACCTCGAGCTTGAACATCTTGTCCTCGAGCATGTCTGCATTCGCCTCGCCGCCACTTGCACCTGCGCTCGCAGCGGCATTAGCGCCCGAGTTGGAGGAGGAGTCAAAGAAGGAGCGGTATTCGGGGATGGCGTCGCAGACGGACTTGACTTGGTCGAGTTCGTCTGCCTTGGCGAGCAGATTGTTGCCGGCGGGGAAGAGTTTGCCGATGGTGGGGAAGAGGCGTGCGCGGTCTTCCTTGGAGAGCGAGGTGCCGAACGAGTTGATGGTGATGTTGATCGTGCGTCGATCCGCCTCGAAGCTGAGCAGCTCGGTCATGGTCTGTGCCGTAGTTCCACCGAGCGAGTTGCAGAACTGGTAAAAGTCCTCGAGGTAGGCCTTGTAGAGCGTATTGCGGATGATTTCGATGTTGAGGTCGTCGAGGTCCGAGGCGGAGATGCATTCTCGAAAGTAGGGCGCGAGGGGAGTTTCGACGAGCACCGAGTTGTAGAGTTCCTCGACGGTCGAGGCGACGCAGAGCGCAGGCATGGTGTCGAATACGCCGAGTGGATGGCAGCGTTGGAGGAGCTCGTGGGTATCGCGCTCGTGAAGCGTGCCGGTGATGAGGAGGATGACATTGTCAATCATGTAGGCGTAGGTCATGTAGTCCAAGAACTTGGAGAGCGGCTGGGTGGCATTGGTGCGCAGATACTCGAACTCGGCGACGAGCTTGCGTGTAGCCTTGTCGGCGATGGTGGAAGTGGAGATGGGCGAGGGTTCGTTCTGCAAGAAGTTGCCATAGTCGGTGGCGGAGAGCTGCATCTTGAAGTCGTCGAGCGTCTCGCACTGGGTGAGCGACTGGTAGTGGTTGGCCGAGAGGAGCGAGGTGCGGTAGCCGCGCACGACGCCCTCGAGGAAGCCGTGGTCCACGTTGAACGAGATCATCTCCATGGCTGCCGAATCGAAGCAATGCGTGATCGCATTGAGTGTCGAAGGGGGAAATCGAGATGGTGGTGCTGAAGCGCGACGTCGGCCCTTCCGAACGGCTTTCTCAGCACCAATCGGCTCCCTCCGACACATGGCCCAGGCGCAGCGGCACTGCCCAACTCCTGACGCGCATCACACGCTCCAAAAGCACAATCCCAGCACAAACGCAGGGGCGCAGCAGCAGCGCATCCGCCGTCCAAATTTATCGCAATTCGAGGCTCAGTTCTTTTGTTGCGATCTAACAACTTCATCTCCCTGCTCACGATTCCCCTCTCCCACTTGCCGCCACCACCACCGCATCCCGCGCAAACGACAATCAGGCGCATACACTATATTAATCAATCGTCGAGCGCTTGGACCATTCTAGTTGGAAGGCAGATTGGCGTCCTCGGCAACGAGCCCCTCGGCAGGCCACAGCCACCCAAACTTGTCCTCCTGGTCGCCGCACTGGTACGAGGTGAGCTCGTCAAACAGCCTACGCGCGCACTCGCCCGCGGTCTTGCCGTCGCCAAACTCGATGCGCTTCACCTCGTTTTCGGCAGGGAAGGTGTACTTGGGTCCGTCGGGCGACAGCTTCTCGTGCTGCAGCTGCGGCTTGTGCGAGTTGTACGAGAGCGATCGGACGGGCGTGATGCCGGCGGCGGTACCTGCCGCCATCAACTCGCCAAACTTGTTCTGCTTGAGCTCGTCAAACGCCACCTGGCGCAGCTCCACCTTCCAGCCGCACAGCTTCTCGGCGATCTCCACCACGCTCAGCTTGGTCACCGAGCGCAGGATCGACGTGCTCTCCGGCACCACCAGCGTCGTCTCCGAGCCCTGCTTGCGCACGGCGAGCGCGTTGGAGGTGGAAAACTCGTCGACGTACGTGTGCGTGGCCGAGTCGAGGTGCAGCGTGATCGGATAGCCCTGCTTCTTGGCCGCAGCCGTGGGCGCAAACACGGGCGCGTAGTTGCCGCCCAGCTTGGTGTGGCCCGTACCCATGGGTGCAGTGCGGTCGAAGGTGTCGAGCACAAATCCGTCCACGGCAGGGATCTCGGCACCGCTGCCGTAGAGCGATCCGACGGGTGTGACCCACACCAGGAACGTAAACTCGTCCGGACTGCCCAGCAGCAGATTCGGTCCCGTGGCAAGCAGCAGAGGTCGGATGTACAGCGCACCGCCCGAAGCGTTCTTCTGGTACGGCGGCACATACTCGAGGTTCATCGCAACCGCCACCTTGATCGCCTCCAGGAACAGCTCCTGCGGCAGCTCGGGCATCGACGCCATGCGTGCGCTCAGGTTCATGCGCACCCAGTTCTCGTGCGGTCGGAACACGCGCACCGATCCCGTGGCCGATCGGAAAGCCTTGATGCCCTCGAAAGCCTGCTGTCCGTAGTTGAGACAGGGCGCAGCTGCGTGCACGTTGATGTGGCTCTCCTTTTGGATCTCGACGCTGCCCCACTTGCCGTCCTTCCAGGTGACGCGCACGAGGCCGTTCACATCGCGCTCCTTGAATCCGAGCCTCGCCCAGTCCACCGACTGCGAGGGCGCAGTGGCGATACGACCGTTGCTCGACGACATTGTGTATGAGATGGAACGAAGAGGATCAGAGAGAGGTGAGTGGGAGAGTGATGGTCGCTCGAGAAGAAGCTCAAGCCATTCGCGCGGCCACAGATTAGCCGGACTTCGATGACTCGGACGTGCATCCGCAGCCCAACTCGACTCGACTCGACTCGACTCGACTCGGCGCTTTCCCAATTTGTTGCATACATCGGCTTAACATCCCCTCAAATTCGCGCTCAGACCAACTGCGACCCGGCTGTACACCCAATCCTTCGTCCAGCTCCTCCTCTTCCACCACCACCACCCCATCACCTGCATTCACGGCCTCCTCGGCAGCGGCAGCGTAAAGACAACGCTGCTGCCCGCCAAAGCCTCCACCATCACCACCATGGCTTCGCCCGCACAGGCGCTCGCAGACCTCCTCTCCAAGGCGCGCCTCTCGCTCCACATCCCCGCCTCGCCCACCTCCTCCAAATCGCTCGTCTACTTTGACGACATCCTCAACGTAGAGATCGTCCTCTCCTTCCCCGCAGATTCACTCTTACCCGCACCACGTATCGCATCCTCGCATCAGCTGCCTTTGCCCTCGCTGCCTTCGCCTTCCCAGCCGCACAGCGACGACATCCCCGCATACCTCGGCGCCCTGCTTGCATGCCTCCACGTCAACCTAGCCACAGACTACGTGCCCGAGTCTTCGTCCGAGTCCGCTGTCGCTCAATCCAAGTCCACCAACCCATACGAGCCACTTTCCACCGTCCAGCTTGGCTTCGAGCATCTTCAGCTCCTGCCTTCGCACGCCGCACACTCCAACCCCGCAAACGCTGGCCACGCCGCCGTCCGCGCCTTTACCAACTCGTGGGCGGGCAATCAGCCTCCACAGCCCCATCGCACGCTCAGAGACTCACCAGACTCGTCCACCACAGCCTCCCATCGCGCACGTCTCGACTACGATGCCCGCAACTGGAACGTCCATTGGCACTGCCGCGTGCCCGTCAACTTTATCGCCACGCCGTTTGCGCCGTTGCTAGCCGTCACGGCTGCGCTTACCTTACGCCTCGATGGCGGTATTCTGGAGCACTACCTTCCGGCCAACACCTCGCGCAAGTTTGTTCGAGCCGGTTTCGAGCACTCTCTGCTCGCGCCGCTACACGAGGGGCCCGTGTATCCGGACGAATCGCCCACCCAAAGCCAAGCACGTGCTACAGCATCGGCTGCACTCGGACTCGACGGGCCCAACGGTCTCGGATGCTTCCTCGCGCATCTGCCAAAAGAGACTGTTGGTGGCAACAATTCGGTAGTCACCCCCCGCTCAGGCGCGGCGGCACTGAGCTCGATCCATCAACGGCGCAACCAGGCGCTGTCTCCCGTGCTTGCCGATGCCCAGCAGTCGTCCGCAAGGGCCGACAGCAACGGCGATCTCGCCGCGCTCTCGGATGGCACCCAAATCAGCTCAGCAGCCGCGCGGCATGCAAGCCAAGCTGGAGCGCAAGACAAGGCGGGTCTGCACATCTACAAGCGCAGCACGCGCGCGATCCTGCCGCTCAAGACGGGTCTCAATGTGCGTATGCGCACGCTCCTCACCCAGCACAATCCTCGACTTGGACGTCGCCATCGAGATGCAGACGAGATGCAGACCAGCAGGCTCGTGCTGTGTGTCGAGCTCGAAAACCCGCTCGAGTCGCCGTCCGACTTTGTGGTCAACGACATCCTCATCAAGATCGAGCAGCACAGCCAGGCGGGTAAGGTGAGCGCCACGCCTCTGCATGCGCTCGCCAGCGTGCTTCCCATCCACCTCGATCCAGGTAGCCAGCACAACCTGCTCTTCTACGTCGCAGCCGATCCCAGCTCAAACGCTCAAGGAGGTGTGGTGTCAAAGATGGCGACACGCAACGTCAACATCACCATCAGCGGAAGGCCAAGCGGTGCGTATGACGACTTTGACTCGCAGTGGAACTGCAACCTTGAACTCAGCTCCGTGCTGGCCGATGCGGCCAAGGTGGCTGGAATCGCCAACGTGGCACGACCTGCAAAGGAGAGACCGAGTCAGATCGGGCAGGTGGCCGGAAATCCGCAGTACTCGGCGTCGGCATTGCGCGACACGCACTTCGGCGGAGGTGGACGAAGCATCTCGATGCAGTCAGGCGTGTTGGCAGAGATGAGGACGCCAAGACCGGGACAGCTCGGTATGGGATTCCCCTCGCGCCCGGCGCAACGCCACCTCTCAACCGCCTCGATTGGTGCCCCACCACCAGTTTCGGTACCAACAGGATTCTTGGAGAAAGCCAAGCAGCGTGCAGCCAATCGCAACTCGGTCAACGCATCACGCACCGAGCCCATCTTCAAGCCGTGGACAGCCATGTCGTCTACAGATGCGCAGTCCGATGGGCTGGTAGTGCTATCGTCCATCCGACGACCCCAAATCAACGCGCACGGCCAAGTGTCCTTCCACTCGAGTCTCGGCCATGATGGCGTGGCGCGTCCGAGCATAGCCACGGGTGCCAAAGCCGTCGACCAGAACCGTCTGCAGTTCCAATCCGGCGACACGGCGATGCTCCAACTCGCGCTACTATCCAAAGCCACCGCATCAATCAGCAACGTTGCGTTGACTTGGGTAGCTCGTCCCAACCCCAGCTCGGAGAACAAGAGAGACTCCACGGACAAGGGTCGACTCATGGACGCCGATTCGGCCCGCCTCAAAAGTGCACTGCTATCGGCAAGGGCGGACGTATCAAACGGTCTCGTCCCGGTCTCAACCCAGGTCGATCTGCAAGCGTCCATCGGCCCAGGTCAAACGGCAAATACCTCCCTGGCATTGACGTGTTTGTCGCCCGGATACCATGTGCTACCACCGCTTAAGCTCGCGTACACCATCACAACTCCCGCTGGTGCAGACGCGAATCACTTGGTGCTGCTCGACGGTCTGGGCAGTGTCCACGTCGTCCCCGCTGCAGTCTAGACCTTTCACTTTGCAATGAAAAGAGGAAAGACACGGTGCGCTCTTTCATTTCGTGTCACGCAGAGTCACACAGCTTGGCGCTTTAAAAGATTGCATGCAGCCACAACGACAGAACGAAGAAAAAGGGGGAGATGCGCGCGACTAGCACACCTGGCTCAGAGCTTCGATGAGCTGTTCAACCGCTTCCCTCTCGACGCCGAGAGCCTGTGCTTCCGATGCGGGGCCTTGGACGATCCGATCGCGTTGATCACGATCGAGTCTGCCGTCGATAAACATCTTGAGCACGCCGGCATCCAAAAATCCAGCCGGACTCTGCACGCGGTGATCCGTTCGCAGCGTTCGCCACTCCTCGTGCCGGATGCCACCCACCACGCCCGCCGAAGCCGCGTTCGACTCGCCACCGCCCGACTCGATCAGCGACAGCGTGTTGCGCTCCACCTTGGCCAACAGCTGCGCTTCCTCGTCGCGCACGTGCGCGATCACGCCAATCGCACCCGCAGCCGTGCAGAAGATCAGCTTGGGCTGGATCGCTGCGCTTGCCCCCGCGCTTGGCACAAGCGATTCTGTCAGAGAAATGAACAACATGATGGTCAGCTAACCCGCACATCACTCCACGTCCACGCATTGCAAAAGAATCGCGACTTACTCCGGCAAAACTTGCTGATCATGTCGCCGTAATGCCACACGGCGCTTCTCTGCGTCACGTGTGCGTATTGATCGCCGTCGTCCCGGCCACCGCCCTGAGAGTTGGACGCGGAAACCGTGCGTTCCTGCTCGCGCTCCCGTGCCCTGCGCATGCGTGCCTTGACCTCGTCACTCAGCAGCACACGCTGCGTCGTGTACAGGTTGAACGAAATGTCGGCCCCAATGTACGTCTGGCTGGCATCATCCAGTAGCTCCGTAGCGCTCGTCCAGAACGGATCGCAGTCGCGCGCGATCTCGGACACCCGAGCCGTCTGCGGATGCACGTGGAGCACATTCATCGACCGCAGCGCATCTCCCACCACAATGCGGTCCGGCTCAACCACGGAAAGGCTGCACGCGATGAACGAACTCGCCCAGCTGCCGCGCTGCTTGATCTTGATCCTGGGCGAGGATGCATCGCCGCGGCGGGGATCGACGACGCTGTAGATCTTGACCTCCGAATTGACGGCGGCAGCAAGCCGGTCGCCGATCGACTGTACGCTGTACACGTTGCCGTTCTCATCGTGTTCAAACAGCCTCCGCAATCGCCCACGCTCCTCCTTGGTCCGAGACGAGCCAGCCGACACATCGAATCCGACAAGTCGGCCAGAGACGGTCTCTTGGGATTGGCTGTCGATGTATCCGGTGCCAATCACGAGCATCTCGGTTCCATACGCATGCAACACAGCGATGCAGTTCGGACGTTCGTCGGTCTCGAGACGGATCTCATCCAAGACCTCGAATGTGGTTTGATCGAGGATGCGAACCGCTCCTCGAGGCTTGTCGCCGCCCGAGGCGCTGCCTCGAGGCAGAAATGCCCAAGTGCATACGGCAAAGACTTGGCGTGCAGGCCACTGCGCGATGGCAAGCGGCTGGTCGAGGCCAAGAGGGAAGGTGCGCACATCACGCTGTTGCAGCGTGCCCACCGAGGCAAGCTTGACCGAATCTCCAAGACCGAATGCGTTAAGCACCTGCTCCGGTCCGACATTAAGAGTGGCGACGCAGCGTTGATCGCCGTGCTGGAGCGCGTTGTACGAGAACCGCTTCGAGTCTGCAAAGACCAGCGTGGGACGGCTCCCGGACACTGCCACCACCCGAGCGCCAGAAGAGGTCTCGATGGCGTCGAGCTTGAGCGCCTGCGTGCCCAACGACAAGGTCTTGCAGTCCGAAAGACCGACGGTGCGGCTGAAGCTTTCGTCGGTCGGAAGGCTGAGGCTGTAGGTGATGAGCGTGCCATCTCCGAGCCCAATGAGCAAGTGTGGGCTCACAGCGTCTCGGTTGCGCAAAGAGGTCCTCGACTGTCTCGAAGCGCCCTGCCGAGTCTGCTTGCTGGCGAAGCGATGGAGGAGCAAGGATCGCGGCACCGCCGGAAGCTGCTGCTGCACGACCGAGCTCTGTCCGACGGGACCCATGTCGGGGAGAGAGAGGATTTGGATCGTACGAGCCTGCCAAAATCCGATAGCAACGATCTTGGCGGGCTCGCCTGGCGACAAGCAGCTGATGTCGAGGCAAGAGACCTCGTGTTCGAGGGAGATCTTGACGCGTTCAGTCAAGGACTCGGCCTCGGCGGTCAGATACAAGAGCGTCTTGTCGCTGAGGGCAATGACGCATTGGCCGAGGTCGTTGGCGCTGGCCGTGGTGATCTCGAATCCCGATGGGGGCGACCACTGGTGCAACAGTGCAATCGAGTCGTCCTGGCATCGCAAGAGAGAGACATCGGAACGAGCAACGCGAAGGAGTAGTGCCGAGCCCGAAGCGTCCACCAGAGAAGACGCTGCGAGGGTGGAATCCGCCGTGCTACGACAGACGGATGCGAGGCGGTCGGTGGCATCGACGAGATTGCCGTCGACGTCAAAGTAGAGATAGGCGGTGGAAGTGGCGAAGCCGACGAGCATGCCGCTTGTCTGCTTTGAGCCGTTCAAATCGGCGTGGACCGGCCAAATGTGTTGGGCGTTGGGGATCGGGAGCGTGCACACATCCTGTACAGAGGCGCCGCTACGCACCTCGCGAATGCTGCCAGACGGTCCGGCGCCGCTGCACGTGACAATTCTAGCCTGAGCACTGGAAGAGGCGCTAGGATCGCCACCTGCGCCGTCGTCCACAACGAAATCGACGATAGGGCCCAGGTTCTGCCAGCTTTCGATCGTGTGAAGTGAGCCGGCGGACGGAAGTTCGGTTCGATCTTGGGAGCTGCTCGCCAGCTGGAATGAGCTGCTTCGCCTTCTGGACTGGGTGGGCGATGATGGCGGCGAGATGAGCTGGGCGGCTGTTGGGTCAGCTGCATCGTCCACGTCGCGTGGCACGACTTGGTGGAGCAGAGTGTCGCCGGTGCTACTGCCGATGCATACGACGCCTTCTCCGAGGTAGGAGAGTGCCTGAGGTCCTGCAGGCTGAGAAGAGTAGCCGAAGGTGGCTACTTTCATCGATTTGGGCTGGATCAGGATTGATGCGGATTCCGAGACGGGCTCTGCGGGCAGTGTGAGTGTGAGCACGTTGAGGGCGCCTGAGCTGCATGCAAACAACACCGAGAAGCGGTCACTGCTGTTGGCGGTGTCACTGCTGTTGGCGGTGTCACGGGACGAATCGTCCATGTCGACGGCCGAGACCACCTGAACGGGATGCGGCAGGCCTACTCTGAGCAGTCGGGCACGAGAAGGAGTGGCGGCATTGCTTTTCAGGGGAGACGAAGGAGAGCTTGTTGGGGCGACTGCAGAGGAGCGTCTTCGCTTGCCGTTTTCGTTGGAGGGTGCGGATGAGGAGGTCGTCGCTGCTTCAGTGGTGGTGTTGGGCTGGGGCAGAGCGCCCGAGGAGCGCCTTCGAGGTTCAAAGGTGTCGCCTTGGCTTGCCTTCCTTCTTTTGCCCTTGAGGTCTGCCGACTCGGGCGAGGTTGATGCGGGAGAGCTTGGCGTTTGTGTGTTGGCGGGTGGGGGAACATGGAGGATGCTGTTCTCGCAAAAGACGAGCACGCCGCCGCCGACGCGAGCGGGAAGCGGATGGATGAGATGAGCACCTACAGCGTCGGCAAAGGGCAAGGGGACGTGGCAGTTTGCGAGATCGGACTTTGCCCAGTCGTGCTCGCGCTTGCGAAGGTCGTTGTTGGACATTCTGGCGCCCATGGCGGCGGGACCGTGCTTTTTGCGTGCGGAAGACTTGTCCTGCCTGGCGGTGGGCTTGATGTCGCGACTGGCCTGCGTAGCTGCGGTTGAAGATTGGGGATCGTACGACCTGTCGTCGTCGTCGGTGCGAGAAGCACGAGGAGGCGTACGAGGGGGACCCCAGGGGAGTGGCTGAAGATCTTGGTTGTCGACGTCAACAGTGTGGAAGGAGAGGACGGGGAGGCATGACTCGCCAAAGCCAGGGATCTTGGAGGGCACGCTGGACTGGGAGAGGAGCGCGATGGCAGGGGCGGCGTGGCTTTGAGTCGGGCTGAGGACGGCGGAGCAAAGCAGGTTGGGATGTGGCAAGCGCACGCCAAAGGCACGGGTGAAATCGGCAGACCGGGCCGAGGTGGACGGCGTATCAACGTCTTGCATGAGCTCGTCGCCATCGTGGTGTGCGGAGGGCTGAGCTTTGGAAAGAGGCACTACCTTGAGGATGCCTTTGTAGATGTGCGCGATGGCGATGCGTTGGCCCAGGGGCGGAGAAGCGGGCGTCGAGGGCTCGGAGCAGATGGTGAGTGCGGCTTCAGCGGGAGAGCGGGCGGCTTCGTCGAGTGCGAGTGTGGCCTTGGTGATGACCTGGATGTCGCCGGAAGCCGGATCGAGCGAGGCGGAGAGAGCGATGAGCCTAGGCTGGTAGTGGTCCGTGAGGACGAGCAAGGTCTGTGCAAGCGCATCGGAGGGATGGGCTGGGTCGGTGACGAGCTGGACAGAAAGGATGCGAGCATGCACGCTGACCGTATGTACCGTCTCGAGGAGGCCCGCAGCTCCGCTTCCGCTGCTCTCGGTGTCGGCCTGTGTGGCGAGGGAGAGGAAGTCGATCGATGAATGCCTGACCAGGGCGAGGCAAGGTCCCGTTGGCAGGAAGCGCGGAAGCACGAGCGTCTGCACGATGGCCGAAGCCTCGTGAGCGTGAGCAACGTACAGCATGTTGCTACGCCTTCAACTCGGTAGCGGCGCGGAGAAGGAGCAGAACGAGGACGATGAAGGTGGTGATGGTGGAGGGAGCGAAGGATGCGCAGCAATGATGGCTCGCGCGCTCCACTCTTCCAATTTCCGCTGCGAGCGCCAATCCGGCTGATCTGTGCGTTTGCGCGCAGATTTTCTAAGCCGACGGACGCTGACAGGCGCCGCTTCGAGTCGCCACATCCAAACGCGCGAATCGCAGCCGCCGGCGAGGTTGGCGAGCGCTGCCATTCTCGAGCACTTCACGCTACACTCGTACGTGCGCTATCCCTCTGCTTCTTGCTTGACCGCCTCCGTAACGACTGTCGCTTACGTTGCAACCAGCCCACCAGGGATTCGGGGCCATGAGTGGGAAGTGCAGTATGATGTCGCGACTATGACTGATACAGAGATGCCTTTCTCTTTGGAGGTCGCAAAATCATGTACTTTTCTGCTTGAATCATAGTCCGAAAGAAAGAAACGTGCAAGAGCAGCCAATTCTCTACCCTTTCCTCGCGTTGCAACTCGTTGTGAGCCATCAATCACGCAAAAATCATGGATAAATTTGTATAGACTAATCAGTGGGCGGTCACGGATCATCGATAAGTTAACACAGGAAGCGCAAAGAGACAAACACGCGAGTCATGCATGACGCAAAGTCCGTTCCTGATGCACAGTATCAAAGAGCATGAGGCGGATCATCGAAGGCATACGCAGGCATCTGGACAAAAAAGTCGAATACGCTGCCGATTCGGCCAAAAAGAGGTTCTGGTAAGTTAATTATTCATATCCTAAAAAAACGCGAGCTGGCGAGGAGCAGCCACCCAGCAGCCACCCGGGGTGGCTAGTAATTAGCAGCCACCCATCAGCCACCCGGGGTGGCTTCTCGGAATCAGCCACCCCACAGCCACCCCGGGTGGCTGCTGGGTGGCTGCTCCTCGCCAGCTCGCGTTTTTTTAGGATATGATTAGTCCTCACAAAACTGCAATAAGTTGTTCTTCAAATCACGAGTAGTATTGCGAAGCCTGGCAAGCATGGCGCGTGCGGCTTCGATTTATTATAGCATGGCTGTGTTCATCAACAAGCTTAGACAATGGGCCAAAACCTTTTGTTTGCGACTACACACTCTTGACTTTTCTTGACTTTTGCAAAGTGTTCTTCAATTGAACGTGCTCGGTAGCACATAATGGAACAAAAGCAATGTGTTTTCTCAGTGAAGTTGAGTGAATGCTATGACACCAGCAAATGCGCATGGTGCAAGCCGTGGGTAAGAAGCAAAAATAGTGGCCCAACAAGTGCCATTCATGTCAATGCATGAGCACATTCAGCATTGCCAAGAAAGGGATGGGTTTGCGACAAAGAGGGGGGGGACATACCTAGCACTGGGGGGAGGGGAGAGACGGTGGAAGGAGGCGCTCTATTTGTCGTCCTCGTCCATAGCGGACCAGGCACACATAGGCGTCGCCGGCACCCCCACAGTCGGCGTCGGCAGAGGGTCACCGCGACCGCGGCGCTGGTCGGGTAGCCTTACCCCCATCAGGTCAGTCACAATTTTGACTGTCAAGTAGCCATCAGGCGAAAGATTTGTAGATATTCACACCAAGAGTGTCACGGATCTGATCGGTGTCAAGGCAGATGTGCCGGTATTGGAACTTGTTGATGGTTTCAGGATTCGAGAACTCATATCAGTGGCCTGCAAGAAGGGCACAGATAGCCAAAAACAAGTCCGTGTCGTTGTTCCGCCAGTATGTGATGAGCCGCATGATGACAATCTGGTAGAAGTGGTTCCGACACTGGATGATATGGTTGAACGGACAGTAAATTAAAAAGAGAGAGGAGGTGCGAGTATGAAGCCAGCTAGCTGCGTGTCAGAGAAAGGGCGCAAGAAGTCAGAACACGACGCAAAAAATCAATTCGCAAAAATCACGAATATCGTTTGAAGTCCCGCCTTCACCCGGTTCCGGTCTCACAATCTGTACGATTTCGATGAGTTGATGCAAATTGACACATCTGCTTCGACGCTCAGTCGACCTTTATCCATCAATGAGCATAATCAGAGATCTGATTCCCGCGACTCTCACCTCCAATAATCGAACATTCAGACATGAGTGCCATTTTTTAACGTGAGTGGCCCGTTACTGAAACAGGCCCATCAGTGAAACAAAAATCACGAAAATGGTATGATCATCCGGAGGCCGCTTCTGATGCCCCTGGCAACTTTGTGAGCTCTGAAGGAGGCCATTTTCGTCATCAAGGTAATCATGATCAATTCCTGACCCTTGTAAAACGGCTTTCTTACTAGATTGTTGCTGGTGGCTACGTGGTTTGTGAGAGCCACATGTCCATATACGGGGCCAGTGTGATTCCGTGGCCGATGCCTCCGCCTCCGACGAGTAGCTTGAATCGTTCGAACTAACTTACAAGATCGACAATCATATCCTAATAAGTGGGGTGGGTGGCGACGAGCAGCCACCCATCAGCCACCCCCCAGCCACCCGGGGGGGGGGGGGGGTGGCGAAAATCAGCCACCCACCCCACTTGTTAGGATATGAATCATGACACATGATGTCCTTCAAAAATGTGAAAATTGTGGTCTAAATTAAGAAGTCTTGCGAGTCTTCCCGTCTCATGGCTCCCAAATTTATCTTAGATCATCTTAGTCGCCAATTCGCGGTGACGCACGTCTCGTGATTTGATCAAGACACCAGTCGGGAAGCAGCAAGGACGCCTGGCGAAAACGTTGATAGCCAGCAAGCATCCACTCATGACTCGATTGCACGTGACTGGCGGCTAGCTGGCTGCTCGTATCCGGAAACAACACGCTGAAATAAGAAGCGGGTGGCTAAAATGAAATCATAATCTTTTCTTCATGCTTTGTTTATCACAGCTTTCCGAGACATTGTTGACCGTCAGCGACATTTCTCAATTACAAATCAAATTTTAGCTCACAAATAAAATTTGAGCTCACAAATCAAGTCTAAGCTCACAAAACGTGAATCACGAACAACCAACGGGCTAGCATTGAGTCCCGGCGAGCTTCTGCATTGAATGCGTAAATCATGAATGAAACGAGGACCGAACTTGTTCGAGCACGGGAGTCATGAGTCACTAGTCGTGAGGTACTTGAGCCACACGCCATGACTCTCCTCAAGATCTTTGTTTTCATGAATCGCGAGTGGAATGAGGTGCTCTGTGACCAGGCATCACACCGAAAAATTTTGTGATTCATGGCCAATCCAGACACAAGAATATTGGAGATAAATTACGGATTAATGAGACGTGATCCACATAGAATCTGTAAATGAACATCAATGCCAGGTTGTCTCATTGATGTTTGTTTTGCAAGCAACCAGCATCATGCCCGCTGCTGCTCTTCCAGCTACCGTGGACTGGACCAACTGGATGCCTCAGCCATTTCCAAGTCAACGGGAGGCTGTGAGCATGCTGCACTCATGACTGCTTCTCCCTCGAGCATGATGCTTCGATCCAAGTTACGAAAAGAAAGCCAGGGCGGGCTCAAGGACCCTTCCTTCCTTGTGCCGCAACCTCCTTGGACGCATCCAGTCCGACCTGGCAAAGTCGGACTCGTGACTGATGGGTTGCCCGAGCACCGCATCAGACGTAAGCTGTGAATGTGGGGACGAGGTATGGTCCAACGGAACGGGCATGCAGGCGGGACTTGATGGCATGCATCAGGGACTTCACTTGCGGTCTTTGTGCGGGCGGAACGTCAACCATCAATTCCGCTGGCGAAGCCTTGTGAACGCAGGCTTCAGGGTCACTCCGACGACGGAGCCTTGTTGAGGTGCGCGCGAAGACAAAAGGGCTCGGGCTGGCTGGAAGACGCCCCACGTTGGTCCAGCGTCTCATGACCATCGGACTCGGGTACAATATGTGCCGGTACCGGACTGAGGAGGCGCGCCTCAAACACTCTGGTCAGACGCACGCCGGATCGACAGGACCTGCTGTCGAGAGAGGGGATGCGGAGTGGGTGGGGGTGGCTTGCAGTGTCGGTGGAAACCACGGACGCTGTGTTGTAACGCGATCCGTGCGCGCTGTGCGACCTGATTCTTTGGCCAGCTGGGATGCATCAGGTTTTGCCGAAGTCGAGTGGAGAAGCGGTGTTGACAGCCGAGCGGTGCACAAATCAATGTGTCAGTGAGCGCGTGGAAGTGCGGGGTAAAAGAGGCTTCGGTGGTGACGTTGGACGCCGCTCCCGCTTTTACGCACCGCTTTGCGCACGGACGCATTGCAACCCCCACAGCCGCCGCAACACCGACCCTGGAAGCAACAGGACCGGAGCGCCTCCTCCGAGATGTCGCGCGACTCCTGACTCGGCGTGGAAAGGTGGGGGCATTGGCCGGTATATATCTGGCCGGGTGAACCCACCTTGACTTTATGTCCACCACGTTCGTGCCTTCCCCGTTCCTCCCCATCAGATCCAAAACACAAAGATGTCCAAAGATCCTCGCGAGACGCAGCTGGAGCTGGCGCCGACCAACCGCGTGGCCATCTTCCACGAGCACGGCGGCCCGGACAAGATCTCGATCCAGCAGCTCGACACGACCAAGCAGTCGGAGCTCAACGCGGGCGAGGTGCTGGTCAGAGTGAGTTGGTCATGCTGATGCACCGCGTCTCTTCTTTTCTCCTTGACTGACACCTTGTGCTTGGCGTTTGGCTTTGAATGCTGCGATCAGGTTCTGTATACGGGAGTGTGTCACTCGGACCTGCACGCACTGCAAGGCGACTGGCCTGCGCCTACCAAGCTGCCGCTGATTGGCGGACACGAGGGCGCGGGTATCGTCGTGGCGCTCGGACCGGGCTCGCAAGAGTACGTGCAAGTCGGCGACCGCGTTGGCATCAAGTGGATCGCCGACGCCTGCCTCAACTGCGAATGGTGCCGCCTCACACACGAGATCAATTGTGCACAGTACAAGCCCAGCGGATGTAAGTGGCCCAGCCACGTTTTCGCAAGCCGTTCGAGAAACTCACTTTCTGCTTGCTTGATGGACAGATGCTGTGGATGGAACGTTCCAGCAGTACGTGCGGCATACGGCGCGGTACCTGACCAAGATCCCCGACGCTTTGCCGCTCGACCAGGCTGCTCCGATCCTGTGCGCCGGCGTGACCATCTACCGCGCGCTCAAGGAGGCGCATCTGCAGCCGGGCAACTGGGTTGTCATCCCCGGCTCGGGCGGTGGACTGGGCCATCTTGGCGTACAGTACGCTCGCAACGCCGGTCTGCGCGTCATCGGCATCGACACGGGCGACGACAAGAAAAAGATGAGCCTCGAGCTCGGGTGTGAAGTCTTGTAAGTCCTTTACCTCCTTCGCTGCCAAAGGGGCATTCACTGACCAGTGTGATGTTGGCAACAGCGTCGACTTCAAGTCTACTTCCGACGTGCCTTCTGCGATCAAGGAGGCTACTGGGGGTGCGGGAGCCCATGCGGCGGTGGTGGCAGCAGCTACATCGGCGGCGTACGAGCAGGCGCTCGACTACCTGCGCCCGCGCGGGACGCTGGTGATTGTCGGCATGCCCAACTCGATCCTGCCCGTGTCGATCTTCAAGACGGTCTTGTTCACGCACCGCATTGTGGGATCCGCGGTGGGCAACCGCCAAGACGCTGTCGAGGCGCTCGAGATCGCGGCTACCGGCCGCGTCAAGGTGCAATTCACGCTCAAGGGTCTGAGCGATCTCCCGGACGTATTCCAGGCCATGATCGATGGCAAGATCGCTGGTCGTGTCGTGCTGGATGTCGACAAGTAGGCGCGCATCGTATCCCTTTCGGCAATTCTAAGTGTCTTCTAGTGGTTCCGGCGATTGGGTATGATGGAGGCGGCAACCGAGATGGGCTCAGCGACTCGATCGCGTGGCTCAAGTGGTGTCATCGCGCGCCAGCCATCAACTCGCGCCGCCTCGGTGGGTGACGAATGGTGAATCGCATTTGCTCCCATGACAAGACTATGTGAGGGTGTTGCAGCTACTCTGACCTCTGGATGTGGGCGCGCTCGAGGATCTCCTTGAAGTTTCTCGGCCCTGCATACTCCTTCCTTGCAAAGACGAACCAATTGATGGTCGCAAGGAAGATGGTTGTGGCCACGACCACGACGGCGTAGTTCATAAACGAGCCGGACGTGACGGGGATGTACGAAGGGAAGAGGAAGAGCACGGTGGTCACTGCGATGTACGCGAGCGCGGCGGAATTGATGATGGGACCCAGGACGGGTCCGAGGGAGTACTTGATGTCCTTGGGGATGGGGACGTCCTCGTCTTCCTGATCTTGCGCGCCGTAGACGCGTTTGCGACCGCCGAAAAGCATTCCTGCGATGGGAACGACATAGCTGATCTGGAGCAGCACGACCGATGCGCTGACAATCGCCTGGACCGCGATGACGGATCCGAAAAGAATCACGCCGAAGACGACGTAGCATGCAAAGCAGAAGAGCACTGCGTAGGTGGGCACCTCGAATCTGGGCGACACATAGGCGAGCTTGCTTCTGAATGGCAGGCATCCGTCGTTGGCGTAGGCCTGAATCATTCGGCTCGAGGTGAGCATGAGCGCCGGGCCAGCAAAGAAGATGGTACCGAAGAGGATGAGGTTGAGCACGAGCGTAGCCGTCCTGCTCAGGGTTGCCTGGTAGAACGCCTGTACGATGCCCGCGGCACCGGCACCGATGACGCTGTCCATGTCGCTGATGCCGGACAGCACGGCGATGAGCACGAGGAATGCCGATGTTCCACCGATGAGGCACGAGAGCACCATTGCCTTGGGTGCGTTGATATGCGGCCTATCAATCTCGTCGATGACGTGCGAAGCGCCATCAGCGCCGACGAGGCAATACTGTGCCTGGATGAGGCCGATCATCCACGCAACACCATCAGGCCATCCCGTCAGGTTGACAAACTGACCAAAGACGACGCTGGCCGGGGTTCTATGACCTTGCGCTGAGGGTACGGCAAGGCAGACGATGAATACCGTGACTGCACCGGTGAGCGACCAGAATATGGCTGCCTTGTTCATGTTGTCGAGGATCCTGGCGCCGTAGAGGTTGATGAAGACGCAATAGATGGAAACCGCAATGTAGATGCAGAAGGTCAACCAGATGCCTGGGGTGTAGTCGGGGTGGTAGATGCTGATGATGCCCATGACGGTGCTAGCAGCGTAGAGGGGAGCGCTACAGCCCAGCGCTACCCAACCGGTCGCACCCAGCCATCCAGCAAAGTAGGCTACTGGAGCACGCACGCTCTTTGGCGCCATGGCATACGCCCAGTGATACTGTCCACCTGTCGACGGAAAGACATGGCAAAGTTCGGCCAACGACAGCGCGATCGTCGACGCGCAGATGGTCCCTACCAGCAAACCGTAGACCACACCGACGGGGCCTCCTGCACCGAGCGCAAGGTTGATGGCAGCCGAGGCGGCGGTCCAGGAGTTGAGGATGGCGAACGACAGCCCGATGAGCGCGAGCGTGCTAAAGTGCTTGCGTGGCACTACGGCCATGGCGCCCTGATCGAGCGTCTCGGTCTGGTGGTAGTCCAACACCGAGCTGTTGGGTTTATCATCGTACGTCTCGTTGTTCTTGTCCATAACTTGACCTGCCCAGCAAATGTTGGTAATGAAGCGCTCCGGCTGTCACGGGACAGAAGCCTTGAAAAAATGAAGCCCTTGAGGAGCTGGAAAAAAGTGCCCAAGAGTGGTGGGACAGCAATTGGTGCATCTAGCGGTGGTCGAGATGAACCTTGTGGGGGCGCGAATGGAATTGCCCTCGAACGGACACCTCTTTATAACGAACCAAGAGTGACGAATGATTGGTTGTACCACGATAAGCCCGTGTGGAAAGTGCGGGGTATTCGCTACATCGTGCAGCATGTGCAGCATGAGGGGGGGGGCGGCATATAGCAACGGGCGGCTTAAGCTCGTCGAGGGGGAGCTAGCGGGGCGCTAAACGAAGCCGGTCGCGTTAAACGAGCGGTTAAAGCGCGGCACTTCTTGACGAGCCGAAATAGCGCGGCGCTGCCTGGCAGCAGCCGCTGCTGGATAAGGTCGAGACCCCTTTGGGCGTTCCTGGCCCCCACCGCCCTTCTCTTGGCGCCGCGCCCTTATCTTGCCGCGCTCCGATTCGCACGGGAAGGCGAGGTCACGCTGCTCACGAATTCGTCAAGCCCCTCTCAATAGCCGCGCCAGGCGCGCCCCACTATCCCCCCCTCCAGCTCGACGGATATCTCAAACCCCCCATCCTCCCTCGCACACAACTGCACATTGATGATTTTGGGGGAGTAGTAGATTAGCTGGTAGTATTACAACATGTCGGAGTTGTACAGATGCAAATGCATGCGCGTTGCGAACGATGAAAAGTTGGATCAGAGATGCAGTGTTGAAAGCGAGATAGACTGATGCAGAGAGAGAGAGAAGGAAGCACGGAATGAGGGTCGAGATGGGATAAAAGATAAACGTGTCGAGTCCAGGACCAGGAAAGTCAAGGTGGCCGGTCCGATAAAGAGACGCAGGGAGCACATCCAACACCGCTGAAGACAACGATGACTGGGACGCGCCCCCCGCACCAGGATGGCAAAGAGGTGGGCGGGAGTATGAAGCGAACCACATCACAAAAAGGGGGAAAGAGAGGGAAATCGACCATCGTAGGCGAGAGAGCAAGCATGAAGAAAAAGGAGAAAAAAAAGGGGGGGGAAGGGGACGATGGTCAAGGGTATGGAAGCATGGCGAACCGGGATGAAAAGAGCATCGCATGGGTATTGCAAGAACAGAGGTCCGACCCCCTCTGTTACTCCATCTCCGCATCCCGGTTCAGGTATTCAAGACGTTCGCCTAGAGAGGTTTGTTGAAGGTTGATGGTGAAAACCAGCTTTGTAGGAAGAAGAGAAAATCACTCGAAGTTGTCAAAGTCGATCTCGGCCTCGCGACGCTCCGGCTTGGCGTCCGACACGAGCCACGGCTTGGTGATGTAGTTGCGCAGGCTGTCCGGCAGCACCACCACCGCGTTGAGACCCGGCTGCGAGCCAAACTTGTCCCAACCGGCACCGCCGGGCTTGAGCCAGTTGATCGCGGCGTTGACGGCAGCGCCCGACGAGCCGCCGGCGAGGATGCCCTCGTCGCGGATGAGGCGACGCGCATAGGCGAAGCTCTGGTCGTCCTCGGTCTTGGTCCACTCGTCGATGACCGCCTTGTTGAGCGTGTTGGGGTCAAAGTCGTAGCCGATACCCTCCACCTTGTACGAGCCGTCGCAGTCGTCGGGCAGCGTGTTGAGCGAGGCGGGCAGCGCGAGCGTGGATCCGATGGGGTCGACGCCGAGCACGTAGCAGTTGGGGTTGTGGTCGGCGCGCTTGAGGCGCGAGGCGATGCCGCTGATGGTGCCGCCGGTGCCGACGCCGGCGACGAGCACGTCGACCTTGTCCGAGTAGGTGAGGGTGGAGCCGTTGGGCTCGTCGGCGCCGCGGTTCGAGTCCGGGGTGAGCGGGCGAGCGTTGGAGCTGACGTCGAGCGGCTCGTCCTTGCCGGCGGCGGTGAGCGAGAGGCTGCCCATGCCGTGGAGGAGCGAGGTGGAGGAAGGAGGGGCGGGGCCGGCCTTGATGGCCTCGATGATCTCCTCGGCGGTGGCCCAGTGGGCGGTGGGGTTGTTGGGGTTGTTGTACTGGTCGAGGATGACGGCGTCGGGGATGGACTTCTGGAGGCGACGTGCGACCATGATGTTGGAGCGCGGGTCGTCGTGGGCGGCCTCGGTGGGCGTGCGGATGACCTCGGCGCCGAGCGCACGGAGCGTGTTGACCTTTTCGGCCGACATCTTTTCGGGGAGGACGATGATGCATCGGTAGCCGCGGATGGCGCAGGCGAGGGCGAGGCCGATGCCGGTGTTGCCGCTGGTGGGTTCGATGACGATCGACTTGCCCGGGATGAGCGTGCCGTCGTGTTCGGCCTGGAGGAGCATGCGACGTGCGATGCGATCCTTGACGCTGCCGCCGGCGTTGAAGTACTCGCACTTGACCATGACGTTGCACTTGATGCCCTCTGCGTGTGGGATCCGGTTCAGTTGAATGAGCGGCGTCTCACCCACGGCGGAGAGGGCGTCTGGCAGGATGGCTTGGGGACGCATGGTGTCGAGTTGGCAAAAAAAAAAGAGACTGAGAGAGAGACGGAGAGTTGGGGGAGGATGGGATTGGGGGCCTGACTTTCGATCTGTTGGAGATACGAAAGAATCAGGACGAGCGTTTTGCGCCTAGAGGAGGGGCAAACGCCAAAGATTGGGAGCAGCGATAGAAAAGCTGGGATGGTGGTGGTGAAGAGGGTGAACTGAGAGCGGGAGGCTGAAGCGTGTTGGACACGTTGCGATGCGCTGCGCTGCCCAAAGCTCAAACAGAGAGAGTCGATTTTTTGGCGCAAACGCACGCCATCTGCCTCGGCACCACTCGATCCGCCCTGCGCCAGCGCAGCACATTCTCTCCTCCTCCACCGCGCGTCGCATCGTCACGGGTTCAGCTGCGGTTCAATAAATTCACAAAAAAAAAGCAAAAAAGCAAAAAAAAATTCAGCGTTCCAATCCGCTTTCTAGAAATTCAGACCCTGCAAAAAGGAAGCAGCGGACGGCGCTCGTCCGTTGGCCGGCACTTGACCACAGATCGGCCCTGTTTTTGCGGTCAAAACGGCTTAGATGGGCGCGTTGCATCGGCTGGGCCGCCTTGCCGCGCTTGCCGTCTTTGGCTCGTCTGCTGCGGGTGGCGTGAGAAGCGCTGACTGACTGCGGCAGCGGAAGCGTCCGATGGCAATCCAGAAACAAGCTCAATCACCACCACCGTGTTGCCAAAGCGATAGCCTATCGAGCTGAATGTTGAGTCATCTCACTGGCAAAGGGAGAAGGGGCTGAGATGAGGTGCTGGCGTCATTTGGCGAGCGGGCGAGCACGAACGATGCCCCGCGAAAGCACGCCAGCTCCGAACGTGCTCGCGAGCTTCACAGAGCCGCATCGGGATCAGCCTATCAATCGCCGATCTTGTCTTGGTTTGTGACTTTGCGTCAGACATAACAAGCTGAATTCTGGCCAACGCGCCTGCACAACGACGTAACGCCTGACTGCTCCGCAACACCGCAAGCGCGCCAAGCGAGCCGCCCCTTGGCCCCTGTGTTTTTTCCACTGGCGAGCGGTCAAGAAAATGAGGCCATTCGAGTCGATGGCTTGAGCTGCTACTCTAGACCCTCTCGGCTTGTCTAGGTGCTCAGCCATGCTATCGGTCGGATCAGCTTCGACGATACAGTCTGCCGGAACGGACGTGGCCAGCCCATTTGGCTTGCTCCGTGTGCGTGCTGCTGGGCCCGCAGGAGGACGAGAAGCGGCATGGAAAGCACAGATTTCGTGCATGACAGGCCCCGCCTACCGATCTGCTCGCGAAATTCCACGCCCGCATCTGCCCTTTGTGTGTGGGCGTTGGTGTGCGGGTGTGCGGGTGTGCGGGTGGGTCCGCTCATTTTCCAAAATCGGACACTCCGACAGACACACGAACGGGGTCTCTGTCGGGTCGCGCATGATTCACCGAACTCCCAGAGACGCACGCACTGCAGCCCCACTTTGCGCGTGCAGGAGTGGGTGAGTGTGTGTGTTGTTGCCGGCCAGCCTTTCGCTCGCTCTCTTACTCTCTCGATAGCCTCGGCGGAAGCAGCTTTCATCACAATCACAATCACATCCTACCGCTCGCGCTTCTCTTTGCTTCATCTTGGCCAACATCACCGCCAACACCACCGCGCTGCGATCGGATCAGCCGAAGCCATCACTCGGCCCATCGGCTCGGCCGCTATCGATCCATCGCAAGTCGCTTCTGCCTCGAGCGCCCGTCTCGCGCCTCTTCTTGCCGCCGCCATGCGCTGAGCTGCTCTCGTTCCATAATCTCGCATCCCCACGGATTCGGCCGCAACACATACATATAAATATACACCAGCCATGGCCGACCTCCTAAACAAAAAGCCCAACACCAGCTTCCAGGGCTTGGTCACCACCTGCGTCATCTTTGTTGCCGTCGGCGGTGTATCCGCAATAACGTACGAGTCGCTGCGCCAGCTCAGACGTCTTCCACGCACCCGCTTCTCCCACTTTTGGCGCAAAGATGCTCAATGTCGCCATCCGTCAGGCGGCGTCCACGACAATCCGGCGCAGGAACGCCAAACGGATACCTGCGAGGACTGGGAGATGGGCCATTTCTACCATTCGCGCGTCTTCCACGCTTCCACACCATCCCCGCCGCTCCCACGCTGGCCCTTCGCCTGGGTAAAGCGCGCCATCTCCTTCACCGACGACTTTTACGCACAGCACACCGGCATGGACACCGTCGTCTACGTACGCTTCCTCCGCGCCTGCCTCTACTGGGTGCTCCTCCAGAGCATCACCACCGCCCCTATCCTCCTAGCCATCCACATCCACTTCAGTCGCGGCGTGCAGTCCACCGACATGGCAAGAGCATCGCTCTCCTACCTCGTCTCCACGCCCGAACCCGGATGCGATATCTACGGGGACAAAAAGTGCAAGACCGTCGCCAACGAGCAGGGTCGCTCGCTCCTCTGGATCCACCTCACCCTCCTCTGGTACCTCACCATCACTTGGATGCTCGCGCTCTGGTGGATCGGCAAAGGTTCCCTCCGCGTGCGCAGGACGCAGATCGAACGCACGCGCCAAAAGGTCATCGAGGCAAAGCAAAACGCCCACACAGCCCCCGCGGAACCGCTCGAACGAGATCCACACCAGGCCATGTCGACCGCACAGGGGTTCGCTTCGGATAACAGCGATGGATGGCGCCAGCGCACCCTCATGGTCATGAACCTGCCCGGCACCATGCGCGACGAGGCCAGCATCCGTCGCTACTTTGAAGAGTTCTTGCGGCCTGACGACGATCACGAGGCCGACGACGCACCATCGCCCGCCAACGAGCACGAGCCACACCACAGCTCGGCCTCCGACTCGGACCAAAACGCTTCTACCACCCCGAACCGCATCCAGCCGTCGGCCGCTTACTCGTCGGCCCTCAGCGATGCGCCCAGCGGTCCACAGCCCGACCTCCACCCAGACCGCCACCTCAAGAGCCCCGTGCAGACCGTCGTCCTCGTCCGGAAGATGAACGAACTCGCTTCAATGCTCGCGCGTCGACAGGAGGTGCTCACCCAGCTCGAAGGTGCACACATCAAGCTCGCACAAGAGGTGCTCGTCACCGTCGGTCGACGCACCCTCAAGATGCGCAAACGCGAGCGTCAGCAGGCTCAGGGCGCCGAGGCACATCGCCACCACGGCGTCAAACGCGTTGCTTCATCGGCCCACCGTCTCTTCAACCGCCGCAAGAACTCTGGCCACGCTGAGGAGGGAAGTGACGCCACCTCCGGCGATTCGACGCCCTCTGAGACGCTCGATCCGGATCTTGAGAAGCTCGGGCCAGCACGCCAGTCCACCGCAGGCAAGGCGCTCGAGGAGGAGCTCGCCAGGCGACTCGCTCGCTTCTCTCCCACCAACCGAGGCTTGCACGCCAAACAGGCACAGCAGATCTACGACTCCAACGCCGACGGAGAACACGAGATGCCCGAGACCGTCTGGGAGGCACTCAGCGAGCTCCCGCGAGAGCTCCTAGACCCTTTCCAGCCTGCCACCCGGCTCTCCGCCCTCTTCCGCGGCCAGACCGTTCCGACCATCGACTATCTGCTCACCAAGCTCAACCTACTCACCGCGCTCGTCACCGAGATGCGCTCGCGACCGCCCACCAGCTACGAGCCCACTTCCACCGCCTTTGTCACCTTCCGCGACCCGCGACAGGCGCGCATGGTGTGGCGCGAGCTCAACGACCAGATCGTCGTCAAGGTCCGCCTCGCTCCCGAGGTCAAGGACCTTGACTGGGATCGCCTCATGAAGACATCCTTCACCGGCGACGTCGTGCGCGGCTTCGGCGTCAGCGTCGTCACTTGGGCCTTCACCATCTTCTGGGTCATCATCGTCAACTTTATCGTGCTCGGTGTGTTCAGCGTCGACAAGCTCAAGTCTATCCCCGGCCTTGGCGAGTTTTTCAACGCAAACCCAAAACTCACCGCCTTTGTCACCGTCACGCTGCCGCCGCTGCTCGTTTCTCTCGCCTCCATGTCGGTGCCCGAGCTCATCTTCCAGGTCAGCAAGCGCGCACAGGGCTTCGTTACGTTCAGTGCGCTTTACGACATGTGCCTCGCAAGGTACTGGAAGTTTGTCATCTGCAACGTCGTCATCTTCTTCAGCGTCGGGGCCACCGTCATCGTTACCGTGCTCACCAAGGTCGGGAGCCCGAGTACCATCGTCAACGACATTGGCTTCGCCTTTCCAAGTGCCGCACCCTTCTTCGTCTCGTATCTCATCCTTCAGCTCGCGCTCCAGTCGGGCTTCGAACACTCGGGCTTCATGATCGCGCTCCTCCAGCATTGGGGCGCTCGCAAGGCCGCAACGCCCAGGCTTCGAGCCATCAAGACGCTGCCGCGCAACTTCAACAGGTACTACTGGCTGCCGCTCCACATCAACATCATGGCCATCGTCTTCATCTTTGCCCTGCTCAATCCGCTCATCATACCCTTTGCACTCGTCTACCTCGCATTGGCCCTGGTCATCTTCAAGAAGAACTTCGCATACCACTATTATCGCCGATTCAACGAGATGGAAGGCGTCATCTACTACACTAGGCTGCTGCGCTATAGCCTAGACGCCATCGTGGTGATGCAGGCGGTACTCCTCATCTTCTTTTCCGTCATTCGTCCCGGCTCGGTCTACATTGGCATGACGGCGGTGCTCATCCCCATCACCGTCATCGTCAAGCTCATCGCCACGCGCCTGTGGAAGTCGCAGTGCCGCGCCGTCGACGACGAGGAGGCCGAGGCGCTGTGCGGTATCGACTCGAGGCCGCTGTGGCAAAAGATGCAGAGGAACGATCTTGGACCCAGCACGGCCGACGAGGCGAGCAACAGCCGCAGTCCACTCGATGCGCTCGCTTCGGGCCGCTATCCGTCCGTAGTGGCACCGCCGCCCACGACGTCGGCGTTCCAACGCGTCTGGCAGCGGCTGCACGACTCTTTCAATGCCAACGGTCTGGACAAGACGAGCTACCTCGCTGCTGCCCATGCACGCGGACAGGCGCCAGGCCATGCCGTCGGAGTCGGAGCCAAGGGCCTTGCCAGAACGCCACGCTATCTGCTCAAGGAGGGGGCCAAGCACGCCTTCCACTACCGCACAGCCGCCAAGGCCACCCTGGGCATGGAAGACGCCACCGACTCTCCACGCGCCAGCATTCGCCCTTCGACCGAGGACAGGCGCGTTGCAGGTCTGCCTCCGACCAGCAAGATCGAGGCTCATCCGTACCGCACCTCGCACGAGTCTGGCAAGGCCGAGCACTTTGACGGCGAGGTGCCCAAAGACACATCGCAAGTGTTCCATCGCAGCCGATCGGCCATGCGCAAGGCGCGCGGCGGCGAACACGTCGTCCACCGTCGTCGCGGCAGTTCGCGCAGCGAGGAGCGCCCGTTCCTCTCGGGCTTTGATGCCATCTCTGCCCACGCGCCGCTGCCGAGCGAGGACGACTACGACCTTAGCTTCGAAGACGGCGATGCGCCATTCTTGGAGCATGATGCCGACGGAGGCCTCGGACGTCATGCCAGCCGGCGCTCGAGGCGAGGGGCGAGCCGCAATTACGGCACGCTTCGCAGGAAGCCGAGCCAGCTCGCCACGGTCGCTGATGACGAGTCGGCTCAGATTGGCAAGTCCGAACTGCTGGATCGCGAGCCAGTCGATGGCCCATCTGGCTCCGACCCGCTCAGCGAATATGCCGATGGTACCGAGAAGCCAGCTCCTGCAACGTACGCGGGTGCAGGCGGTGCTGCGTACGGGCACTCGTACGGTGGCTCGGAACGAAAATCGCTCGACTATCACGAAGACGACGACTCGCTCAAAGGGCGTGCAGTGGTGCGACCCCACCCGCCGGTGCGATGGGACGACACGCCCAACAACACTGCACGCTACAACAATCCCTTTTACAATCAGGAGATGGACGACTTCCTGTGGCTGCCGCGCAATCCGCTGGCGCCGATCGATCTGTTTGATACGATCGAGTGGTACGGGCCTGCTCTCGTCAGCTCGCAGGGCGGCGGCGGTGTGCTGGGTGACTGGGAGGATGAGCAGGAAGACGACTACGACGACGAGTATGACAGCGATTACGAAAAGAATCACGTCGATGACATTCCCCTTGGCGGCGAAGCGGCGACGCTTGCCCGGCGCTCCGAGGGCATGCTCGAGGGCGACGAGGAGATTGTGCTGCCCGACCACCTGGCTCGCCACTTGGAAGAGACGCAGAATGTGGAGGAGGTGGCGGATCCTGCGGCAAGCGTGCCCAAGCATCTCATGGAGGACTACAAGCGTGCCATCCGGCGCTCGGAACGGGCAGGATCGGTGAGCAGCGCGGGACGCTCGCCATCCAGCCTCTTCCGCCGGGGCAGCGATGTCTCTGCGTCGTCTGCGCGCGGCTATGGCGGTCCGGCGCTACTGCAAGTGCCTTCACACGGCTCGTGGCGAAGCGCCGAAGGTCCGCAGGCGCCTGCAAGCCCGACTTCGGTGCGCGCCTCGCAGCGACCGGGGACTGGCGGTTCGGAGCCGCTGGCGAGTGTGGCCGAGGCAGGCGTCATGATCCCGCGTCGTAGCTCGAGCCGTCGCAAGCGGCGCGAGGAGAGCGGCAACGACGCCGCCGCCGAGGATGCGCGTGCCGACGGCGATGCGGATGCTCGAGACGAGGCGCCGGCGACGGTGGAGCGAAGAATGTCGCGACGCACGCGACGCGATGCGTCGGGCGCTCTGAGCGGCTTCTCGGGCGGCACGACGCAGAAGACGGTGACGCTCAAGGCGGCGCTGCGTGCCGAGGCGCTGGAGGAAGAGAGGCGGATCACACTCAAGGAGAAGCTGGCGTCGAGGAAGGGACGCAAGAAGGCCAACCTGTCGCGCGATGCGTCTGGCCAACTGGAAGGGCTCGAGGAGGGGCTCACGGATGGCGAAGAGGGCGAGCGAGGCATCGAGGCGGGCACCATCATGGAGCGGTATGCGGCGGAGCATCGACGACGTGCTACGCAGGCGAGCGAGTTTGGCCAGCTGACGCCGCAGCGTGCCGGCGGCGGCATGCGACGGGATGCGTCGCAGGGTTCTGCGCTCGTCGACACCTCGTTGCTCGAGAGGAGCGGGAGCAGCGCATATACGGGCAAGCGCTTCCGCACGGCGGCGCTGGGCGTGCTGAGCCTGTCGCGACAGACCAAGGCGGATGCGAATGCGGCGCAACCGACGTCGATGGCGATGCAGGAGCTTGGCGGCGCACCGGCGAGCACGGCAGCGACGAGTGCAGCGGCGCCCGCCATTGCAGGCCAAGGGGAAGTTGCGCCTGAGCGACCTAGTGGCGTGGCCGAGCGGAGCCTGACCGAGGTAGCGCTGCCTGCCGAGGCGAGCCGGACGACGGCGCTGAACGAGACGGTGGATGTGGCGGAGTCACACCAGAACTAACGACACGATGTAACGAATGAAAGGATAGATTGATACCCTACGTCTGGAGAGCGAAGGTGATGCAGCCAATACCGAGCACAGTCGGCGAGCACAGTCGGCGAGCACAGACGGAAGGCGTTGTGGTGTCGAACGCGCAGTGAACGTGGCTGTGCGCACAGGGATGTGGATCGGAAGATATGCGCTGAAGTCGGAGCCACACGCAAGCTCGGCAGGGGCATTTGAGGGCGGTTTGATCCGCGGAGTCGCAGGAGCAGCGGCGGGAGAGGCTTCCGAGAGGGGCGCGGATTGAAAAGCTCGGGCGACGGGGCTCGGGCGACGGGAGTTGCTTCGCAAGCCCCAAGAGCCGCCAAGCCAGTCATGCGATTCCGACTCGACTCATTCGACTCGACTCGAACGAGCGCTAACCAGGGCGGCGACAATTGACTCGACGACCGAATTCCGAGAGGAGCGCAGCGCCATGTGAGCTGTCGAGGTGGAATCAGCTGAGAGGCGGCTTGGCTAATCCGCGGAGCAGCGCCTTGCATCGGACCGATGCAGAGGAAATCGCAGCCGCAGCCTCAAAGCCGCCTCAAAGCAGCCTCCAACGCCCGGAACAGACCAACTGCCGAAGGAAATTGCGCGAAAATTGGCGCCAAAATCGGCCCCTGCGCATCGGAACAACGAAGTGCAAAAAAAAAAAAGGGGGCTGCAAAGGCAGTTCCTTTGGAAACGGCAAATGCTGCCAATGCTGGTGCTGCTGGTGCGACCACAACAACACCAAAAACACGCCCTCGCCCTCGCCCTGCCGAGAAAACGTTTTGCCGAGCCAAAATCAGAGAACTCCTCGGACTTGGCTGCGTTTCACGGCCCGCCAGCTCAGCCTAGTCGCTAGAGCCAGAGCCAGAGCTGCAAGCGAAGCCTTCCGCCGACCCAAGCCTCGAAACCAGCACACGCTCTGCCCTCTTTCTTCGCTCTGACGGATTGCGAGCCAGCCCCGGCCGCTACGCTCGCTCGATATATAGTCGCGGCCTACTTCGCGCGTCACCGCTTCTCTCCGCACACACCTTCGTCCGTCCGCAACCATGTCCGAAGTGGGTCCGCACGGCAACGCCGGTGCCAATGGCGCCGACGCGTACATCGCCACCAACCACACCAACACCGCCGCCACCTCGGCCGCGCCCAGCGCCGACGAGGCCAGCAGCGACCACGAACACGAGAAACACCACGTCGACGTCGCAGATGCAGAGACCCAGTTCAAGCAGCTCGAGCGTCAGCTCTCCACACACCACCCCAAGGATGCCGACGTCGAAAAGTACGAGCCTTTCGACCTGCGCGAGTGGCTCGCCGGAACCCAGCAGCAGACCGACGGCATGGGCCTCAAGCGCAAGAAGCTCGGCGTCTCCTGGCAGGACGTCCGCGTGATCGGCACCGCCACGCTCGACCTCAACGTTCCCACCATCCCCTCCATGGCGCTCTTCGAAGTCATCGGCCCCATCTTTGGCATCCTCAAGCTCTTCGGCTTCGACCCCACCAAGAACAAGACGCGCGACCTCCTCCAGGGATTCACCGGTTCCGCAAAGCCGCGCGAGATGGTCCTCGTCATCGGTCGTCCTGGCTCCGGATGCTCCACCTTCCTCAAGACCATCGCCAACAAGCGCTCCGGATTCATCGAAACCAAGGGCGACGTCCACTACGGCGGCATCGACGCGAACCAGATGGCCAAGCGATACCTCGGCGAGGTCGTCTACTCGGAAGAGGACGACCAGCACCACGCCACCCTCACCGTCGCACGCACCATCGACTTTGCCCTCCGTCTCAAGGCGCACGCAAAGATGCTCCCCGACCACACCAAAAAGACCTACCGCAAGCTCATCCGCGACACCTTGCTCAAGATGGTCAACATCGCCCACACCAAGCACACCCTCGTCGGCAGCGCCACCGTCCGCGGCGTGTCCGGAGGTGAGCGCAAGCGCGTCTCCATCCTCGAGTCGCTCGCCTCGGGCGCCAGCGTCTTTTCCTGGGACAACTCGACGCGCGGTCTCGATGCTTCCACCGCCCTCGACTATGTCAAGAGCATGCGCATCCTCACCGACCTCCTCGAGGCCACCATGTTTGTCTCGCTCTACCAGGCCTCCGAGGGCATCTGGGAGCAGTTTGACAAGGTGCTCGTCATCGACGAAGGTCGCTGCGTCTACTTTGGTCCCCGCACCGAGGCGCGCCAGTACTTCATCAACCTCGGCTTTGCGGATCGTCCGCGCCAGACCTCGGCCGACTACATCACCGGCTGCACCGACAAGTACGAGCGCATCTTCCAGGACGGCCGCGACGAGAACAACGTGCCCAGCACCCCCGAGAAGCTCGAAGAGGCCTACCGCAACAGCAAGTTCTACACCCAGGCCCTCGAGGACAAGAAGGCCTTTGACGCCGTCGCCACCGCCGACGCACAGGCCACCACCGACTTCAAGCAGGCCGTCGTCGACGCCAAGCACCGCGGCGTGCGCTCCAAGTCGCAGTACACCGTCTCGTTTGGCGCACAGGTGCACGCGCTCTGGCTCCGTCAGATGCAGATGACCCTGGGCGACAAGTTTGACATCTTTATGAGCTACGTCACCGCCACCGTCGTCGCCCTGCTCGCAGGCGGCATCTTCTACAACCTCCCCACCACCTCGGCCGGCGTCTTCACCCGCGGCGGATGCCTCTTCATGCTGCTCCTCTTCAACTCGCTCTCGGCCTTCGCAGAGCTGCCCACCCAGATGATGGGCCGTCCCATCCTGGCGCGTCAGACCAGCTTTGCCTTCTATCGTCCCTCGGCACTCACCCTCGCCCAACTGCTTGCGGATCTGCCGTTCGGTGTGCCGCGCGCTACCATCTTTGTCATCATCCTCTACTTTATGGCCGGTCTGGAGCGATCTGCCAGCGCATTCTTCATCGCCTGGTTCGTCGTCATTGTCTCGTACTACTCCTTCCGCGCGCTCTTCAGTTTCTTCGGCTCCATCACCACCAACTTCTACTCGGCCGCACGTCTGGCTGCCATCGTCATGTCCATGCTCGTGCTCTGGGCAGGCTACGTGATCCCACAGGCGGCCATGCGCAGGTGGCTCTTCTGGATCTCGTACATCAACCCGGTCTTCTACGCCTTCGAGGCGCTCATGGTCAACGAGTTCAAGCGAATCACCTTCACCTGCGAGGGCGCTCAGATCATCCCCTCGGGCCCCGGATACCCGACGCAGCTCACCGACAACCAGATTTGCACGCTCGCTGGCGCCACTCCGGGCACCAATCAAATCCCGGGCGGCGCCTACCTTGCTGCCAGCTTCGGCTACCTCGAGAGCCACCTGTGGCGCAACATCGGTATCCTGATCGCATTCCTCTTCGGATTCGTCGCCATCACCGCGCTCGTGGTCGAGTCGATGGACCAGGGCGCCTTCGCCTCGGCCATGGTCGTCAAGAAGCCGCCTAGCAACGAAGAGAAGGAGCTCAACAAGAAGCTGCTTGACCGTCGTTCGGGTGCCAGCGAAAAGACCGAGGCCAAGCTCGAGGTGTACGGCAAGCCGTTCACCTGGAGCAACCTCGAGTACACTGTGCCCGTTCAGGGCGGCCACCGCAAGCTGCTCGACAGCGTTTACGGATACGTCAAGCCCGGAACCATGACTGCACTCATGGGCAGTTCCGGTGCGGGCAAGACGACGCTCCTCGACGTTCTCGCCGACCGCAAGACGATCGGCGTGATCAAGGGCGAGCGTCTGATCGAGGGCAAGCCGATCGACGTGTCGTTCCAGCGCCAGTGTGGCTACGCCGAGCAGCAGGACATCCACGAGCCCATGTGCAGCGTGCGCGAGGCTCTGCGCTTCTCGGCCTACCTGCGCCAGAGCCACGACATTCCGCAGGCGGAGAAGGACCAGTACGTGGAGGACATTATCGAGCTGCTCGAGCTGCAGGACCTGGCGGAGGCCATCATTGGCTACCCTGGTTTCGGTCTTGGCGTCGGCGACCGCAAGCGTGTCACGATCGGTGTGGAGCTGGCGGCCAAGCCTTCGATGCTGCTCTTCCTCGACGAACCTACTTCGGGTCTTGACGGTCAGTCGGCTTTCACGATCTGCAGGCTGCTGCGCAAGCTGGCGGACAATGGTCAGACGATCCTGTGCACGATCCACCAGCCCTCGGCTCTGCTGTTCGAGACGTTTGACAGGCTGCTGCTGCTGGAACGTGGCGGCAAGACGGTCTACTCGGGACCGATTGGTCGCGACGGCAAGCATGTGATCGAGTACTTTGCGGCACGCGGTGCGCAGTGCCCTCCCGGCGTCAACCCGGCAGAGTACATGCTCGACGCGATCGGAGCGGGAAGCCAGCCGCGCGTGGGCGACTACGACTGGGCGGACTGGTACCTCGAGTCGGACATGCACCAGGACAACCTGCGCGAGATCGAGGCGATCAACCGCGAAGGTGCCGCGCTGCCCAAGCCCGAGGGTAGGGGTAGCGAGTATGCTGCGCCGTGGTCGTACCAGTTCAAGGTGGTGCTGCGCAGGACGATGCTGAGCACGTGGCGCCAGCCTGCGTACCAGTACACGCGATTCTTCCAGCACCTAGCCTTTGCGCTGCTCACCGGTCTGCTCTTCCTGCAGCTGGGCAACAACGTGGCTGCGCTGCAGTACCGACTGTTCGTCATCTTTATGCTGGCGATTATTCCGGCGATCATCATGGCGCAGATCATGCCGTTCTGGATCATGTCGCGCTCCATCTGGATCCGCGAGGAGACGAGCAAGACTTTTGCCGGCACCGTGTTTGCGGCGACGCAGCTCATCTCCGAGGTGCCGTATGCGCTGGTGTGCGGTACGGTGTTCTTTGTGCTGATCTACTACCTGGCGGGCTTCAACACGGATTCGGGACGATCTGCGTACTTTTGGTTCATGACGTTCCTGCTGGAGCTGTTCTCGATTTCGATTGGCACCATGGTGGCGTCGTTCTCCAAGTCGGCCTACTTTGCGTCGCTGTTTGTGCCGTTTATCATTCTGGTGCTCAACCTGACGTGCGGTATCCTGTCGCCTCCGCAGGCCATGTCGAGCGGGCTGTACAGCAAGTTCCTGTACAACGTCAACCCGATCCGCTTTACGATCTCGCCGCTCATCGCCAACGAGCTGTACGGGCTTTCGATCCAGTGCGCTGCCAACGAGTTCAGCCGCTTCTCGCCTCCGAGTGGGCAGACGTGCGAGCAGTGGGCGGGCAACTACATCTCCAGAATTGGCGGGTATCTGGCCAACCCCTCGGCGACGCAGGACTGCATGTACTGCACCTACGCCACCGGCGAGCAGTTCTACGCTCCTTTCGGTATCACGTGGGAAGAGCGCGGCCGCGACCTGGGCATCTTGATCGCGTTTGTGGCGTTCAACTGCGTCGCGACGATCGTGTTCACCAAGGTGTTCAAGTTCAGCAACCGTTGATCCACACGGCTCTCTTTGCATATATAGATTCGCAATTCCACCCTTCTTTTGGATCAGCCTTGTTTTGGGGTATGAGTATGACAGAAGCAGAGTGGGTGGCGATGTGAGTGAATGGCGACGACGAGCTTCGGCACGTTCCGACGCGTGAGTGAGCGTGACTGTACCGGCGGCGGATGTGCCGATGAAAGCGCAATGCCAAAGCTTATTAATTTCGCGCCGGGTGGGAACCCTTCATCACGCTCATCACTCCCCACCACCACCTTTCCACCACCACAGTTGGTACGGACATCAACGCTGCAGCCATGGCGTCCACTTCAGCCTCCGCGTCTGGCTCAGGCTCAGGCTCTGGCTCGGCTGCCACCCCATCGTCTGGCACCGCTTCATCTCACGACTCGAAACTAGCCACTGGACTTTCACACAAAGCCGCAGGAAACGCGAGCTTCGTGTCGAGCGACATTCCAGCTGCGCTCTCCTCCTACCACCACGCAATCCTATACCTATCCGGCTCTCAAACGCGGAGCATCCTTGGGCTCGTTGGCGAGTCCACGACGGACAGCAGGCCTGAAGACCTCGATTCCGACTCTGACTCGGACACTGCGTCTGCTCCTACCAGCGAAGTCGAGCTGTCGCAGGTGTACAGCAACATGGCGGCGTGCTACATCAAGCAGGGACGGTGGGATCGAGCCCTGGATGCGGCGGATAAGAGTCTGCGTGCCGACTCGCGCAATGTCAAAGCCAAGTTCCGGCGTGCACAGGCGCTGCGTGGGCAGAACAACCTCTACGCCGCGCGCGACTATCTCCAACTCACCCTCGACAGCCTTGGCAAGAAACGCGCCGATGCAAGGGTGGGATTCGAGGCGGAGCTCAACAAGGTCCAGGCCGAGATTGAGGCCAAGGAGGCCAAGGCGAGGAACAAGTGGGTTGGATTTTTGGGCAAGAATCCCGGTGCGCTCAGCGTGGATGATCCGACCAATGCGCCGTCCGACACTTTGTGAATGCAATCCCATGCCAATACACTCTCAGCATTGCAAAGCCAGCGGCGTGTGCAGTGTTGGTCTTGAACGCGCACTGGGAGTGGGTGAGAGGGTTGGGTTCCGAGATCCGACAGCTGAGCGAGAATTTTTGTGGAGGCTCCTTGCCCACCTCTTGGGTGTTGCTTTCACCCTTCCATCTGAACCGCAACCTCTGATCTCGGGACACTGGCAACGATGGGTAAGAGCAAGACTACGGTCGCAGCGGGTGGAAACGCAGCCGTGGCATCCGAGATCGACGATATCTTTTCGTCCTCCACCACGTCCAAGTCGAGCTCCAGCAAGCCGAGCAAAGCGACACGATCGGAAGCCTCATCCAGCAGAGCATCCAAAACAAGCGACAAGGCGGCATCCAAGTCGACCTCATCATCTGCTTCCAACTCGAACTCCAAGTCGAAGCGAAAGCGGGAGGCCGACTCAGCCCCATCAAAGAAGCGTGCTGTGGAGGTTGTCACGGACACATCCTCCTCGATCCCAACCAGCATTGCTGCACCACCGCCACCCAAGACGCGGCCTTCAAAGTCTTCGGCTAGCAATGGCGCATTTGACGCGGCAAAGCAGGCGGAGCTGGAGGAGTTTGCCAATTCGCGCGGTGGGGGAGAGAGGAAGACGACCGACGATGGCCTGCGCATCTTTTCGGCCGCCGAGCTGGGCATGAACGACGACGGCGGCGATACCGAGCTGTGTCCGTTCGACTGCAACTGCTGTAAGTTCCCCCAAATCCCCACCACAACACCACAACGCATTGGTGTCTAGCCGTACTCGGCATCCACACCGCCATTGCCGAGCAACACTCGACTCTGAGCCGCTCAAGACCCCCCCGGGGTCGACTTCTGCGACCATCAGTGCACGCTCCACACTCCGCCTCCGCTTCACACCCAAACCAGCCTTTCGACTAGACGCGAATGGTGGGTTGACAGCTTCACCCTTTTCTTTTTTGCGCACACAGGCTTCTAACCCCTCCAAATGCAATGCATTGCTTCCTGAAAAACACTTTCAGTCAGGCATGAACAATGGATCGTTTTTTGAGCGATTGACTTTGTCGAGACGGCCGTGGATTTCGTCTTTGCCTTGCTTGAAGAATGTGAGCGTACAACGTGCGGCTCGTCCAGTCGATCCTCGCGGCACCTGCCCACCATGCACAGCTGCAGCCAGAGTGGCCGCGCGTCGATGCTGCGGCCAAGCCCTGCACACAAGATCCCCCCCCTGCTTCGGGCAATGGAGAGTTGCACCGCTCTTGCTGCGCTTCGCCAGGGTGACAGACTCCTTCGTGACTTCCACACCCGCCTCCCCC